AGGGCGACCAATTAGGGATATGTTGATCCTAAAGGCACATAAACCGCAGCCTAGCTGTAAACCAGAAACAATCAACCGCACTTTTAAGAGTATACTAAAGAGAAGAAGTAGGTTAAATAAAAACTACCCAGGCAACATTGGAAAAAAAATTATATAACCTATCCAACAAAAGAATATTTATAGCATGTGACATCCTCTTCTTCGTCATCCTTTTCACATTCACTAGCTGTAAAACATGGCGGAAAGTTGTGATTGTTAGTCCACTTCTGAACTAGTCTCGTTCAAGAGCTTGAGTACTGTGTGCACATCTGTTTTACAGATCTGGCTTACTTGTTTGCAGAACTGTTGGTTCCTCACCTCTCAGTCAGATGTGCTCCAAATTCGGAGGATAAATCCCAAACTCTTTGCCTATTATGACAAGTTTTTTTAGGGAGACAGTGTGTCTATTCTTTTTTTCCCCTCAAACGAGGAATATGGGATTCTATTATACACACGATATAAGGATATATATTATATATATATCCACTTATATAAATATAAAGCATTTGTGCTGCACTGGCAAGCGGGCGGTTGGCAGGTAATGAGTGTATGAATATGTATATATGAGTGTGTGGGTGTGTTTTTAATTTTTTAAAAATTTTTTTCTTTACCACTGCACGTTTGAGTATGCGTGCTGAATTTTAGTAATACAGTGAGATGGTAATTTGGCTATGGGACACCAGTAGCACACATATATCTTCTTGTAGGGACTCGGCAGTCCTGTTTTTCGTTGGCACAGGAGCGGTGCAACTACGGGGGTGACCCGTTTGCTATGAAGCTGAAACTAAGATTACCAGATTATTAATACCCACACTGGGATCCTCGCTCATACTACAGAATTTATGCATCGTGCTGAGAATTCAGTGTCATCTGGCGTTCTCTGCGGCAAAGTGGTCAAGCCGTCTGCCTCGCATTCTGAAGGTTGTGGGTTTTTTTCACAGTGTCATCGTTCGGTACGCCACTGCAATTTTTATGGTGATTCCTGGGAACTGTCACCACAGCTACAGAGTTTGTGCTTTATGTCGACATTCTCTGCAGGCAGCTAGCCATTCTGCGGAGAGACTGAGCCATATGGGATAAAACCTGGTGCAATGAAGTCGATCCTCTCACTTTTACCCTTTAACTTTAAATCTGAACTGTGGTGTATGAAAGCAGCGCTCATGCAGATAATAATATTCAGTAAACTTGATCTTCTACAAACAAACAAAAACATTAGCAAAGAAATTTACAACCAGTTTCTTCTAATAAAAAATAAAAAACAGCTTGTTACATAAATTAGCATAAAGAAGCATAATATTAAAGGATCTTTGCTTTCTGCTTGGACAATTTGTTTTCTTCTACAGACAGGTTCTACAAACAAATTGGCAAAAAACAATGCTACTGAATGAATGAACAATGGGCTACAAAACATACTGCAACACAAAACCGCATGGTGTCTTGTATGTTTGCATACACAGGAAAAATCCCATTGTTTTTTAAAACAAATTTCGATGTGAATCCTCCACTGGTGAAAAAAATATATAAGGACAGCTGGGGGTTATGCGGTGGTAACATGTGAATTTTTTTTCTATGTAAAGAAACTTATGGGACATCCTGTATATAAATATAATCATCATCATCACCAATTTCCACTTCTGTGTTAAGCGTAGTGGGGAGGAACAGTTTACGATCCATTGCCCGATGGGCAGCAATGGCGACCGTCATTCTATGTTGATGCAGATGCTCTTTAATGTCATCAGTCCGTCTTCTCATGAGTGCAAAACCGTTCATTTATGAGCTTTATTTTTTTTTTACAGCAATGACAGTATTTACCAACTGTTCAGGATTCACAACCAAATGTTAAAACTAGTTCTGCGTATCATCCAAGAATCACTTTTTCATAAGCAATACATTTCTGACCAGATGGTTACATCCCACAATTATAAAAATACATGCATATTATACTGCAAAATACAAATACTCAACAAATGAATATCAATTTGTAAAGTAGAGAAACCTAGACTTCTGCATGCTCCCCAAAAACTGTATGACATATCTGAACAAGCAAATGTTACAGATAAGTTTAAATTAAGATTGTTGCTTCAGTTGCGCAAATATAGCTGTAAATAACACTGTACTAAAATTTACATAAATTAATTATAATCTACCGAGGATGAAGCGCAATTGTTACTGAATAACTGCAAAATATTGGAATGACAGGAAGTTTCTGGAAAGGTTTTGGAACAGAAAAGATTCTGATAACCAAATGCAAACATGAAACATTTATGAGACAACAACGAAAAAAATAGATATTTTCATCTGTATATTATTATTACAGTCAATTAAAAAGCAAAAGTCAACCATTATGCCATCTAGTAGTTAATTGTCCCTCTTTGAAATGGACAGGGACTGAAACAATTCTGATTTTATGCAAACTCTCACCTCTTTCTTCTTCGACCACTGCATCTATGTATAAAGAATCATGTTTCTTCTTCTTCTTCTTTTGTTCGGTTGAAATAAATTATCCCTATCTGCAATTTTGTCTCTAGTATGAACTTCACTGACCATTTCACTCTATTTGGGACAGTTTCGCTCCATTTGGGACAGTTTCACTCTATTTGGGACAGTTTCACTAGATTTGGGACAGTTTCACTCTATTTGGGACAGTTTCACTCTATTTGGGACAGTTTCACTCTATTTGGGACAGTTTCACTCTATTTGGGACAGTTTCACTCTATTTGGGACAGTTTCACTCTATTTGGGAGTTTCACTCTATTTGGGACAGTTTCACTCTTTTTGGGACAGTTTCACTCTAATTCGGAGTTTCACTCTATTTGGGAGTTTCACTCTATTTGGGACAGTTTCACTCTATTTGGGAGTTTCACTCTATTTGGGACAGTTTCACTCTATTTGGGACAGTTTCACTCTATTTGGGAGTTTCACTCTATTTGGGACAGTTTCACTCTATCTGGGACAGTTTCACTCTATTTGGGAGTTTCACTCACACACCTACTACACCCTGTAGTTGTAGACTACACATTTTGGGGTGGATTATATTTACGACGATTACAAATCTATCCTGCACAGTCAGTGGAGACAGCGCTAGCCATGTGGCCCTCAATCCTTTGGCTCACAACACCCCTTTCCCGCTCTAAACAGTAGGTACAGACAGTAGTGACAGTTTTTCATTTTCTTTAGCCAGTGCTGCTTATGTCAGCTTTTGTGGTGCAGGCATTGCAAATGCATTTTGCAATTCTGATATCCGTGGTTCAATTCCAGCTGTGGATAGTTTGGCAGCAGACCACCTTGCAGGGAATTTGACAATGGCATTGTCAGCCTACTGTTTGGAAAGCAACGACAAACTACCTAATCTAAAATTTCTTAGTAAAATCACAAACAGGAAAAAAAAAATTGCTGAGGTTGGTTCTGCAAACTTCTGTAAAAGACATAAAACTAACAATGCTGATTACATTATTTGACTGACAGCCATTTATGCTTTCCACAAAAATCTTTCTTTGTCTTCCTCAATCCCTCTAAAATCTTTCTTTGTCTTCCCACATTCCTCTGAAATCTGTCTTTGTCTTCCCACATCCCTCTTGTCATTCTTTGTCTTCCTCAATCCCACTTAAATCTTTCTTTTTCTTCCTATGCCTCTGAAATCTTTCTCTGTCTTCCTCTACCCGTTCATAAATCTTTCTTCGTATTCCTCCAGCCTCATATATCTTTCTTTCTCTTCCGTTACCTGTACAGAAATCTTTCATCATATTCCTCCAGCCACATAAATCTTTCTTTGTCTTCCTCTGTCCCTCTTTGAGCTTTGCTTATTTTCCTTCATCCTTCTTAAATCTCTCATTGACTTTTTCTGCCCTTCATAAATCCTTCTTTGTCCATCTCCATCCCTCCTAAATCTTTCTTTGTCTTTTTATGCCCCTCATAAATCTATCTTTGTCCTCATATGCCCGTATGCTTTCCACATAAATCTTTCTTTGCTCTGCAATGCCCATAAGCTTTTCAAAAAACATCTTTTGTTGTCTTCTTACATCCATTTGCTTTCCCCAAAAATCTTTATTTGTCTTCCTATACCCATATACTTTCCCCATAAATCTTTCATAGTCTTCCTATACCCATATACTTTCCACATACATCTTTCATTGTCTTCCTATACCCATATACTTTCCACATAAATCTTTCTGTTTCTTTTTTTTCTGTGCCACTCTGGCCCAGTATTTCTTCCCCGAATTTGGCTAATTTCTCTGTGTCACCTGTTCTGCTAACCAGCCCCATAACATTTGATGGGTTTTTATGGATTAGCATACACTTGGGAGATGTACGTACAATAACTCCAGAGCAGCAGGAAGGAATATTTACCCCTTCACCCTGTGGCACAATAAAAATAATAGGTCATGACCCCATTAGAATTCCAAAAAAATTCGTAAAAACAATTTCTGTACAGGTCACTAATAAATTCATTAACAACTGGTAAACTTTTTCAATCATAACCAGTTGTTACTGCGACACTAGTCATTCAGTTTTTGTTGTTTTTTGTTGGTACTTTAGAGTGATAAATATATAACTAACTTAAATAATACAACAGAAGTATTGAATAAGTTAAAATAAGTAGGAGTTTCCCAAGTGAGTGAAAGGTTAAACATAAACAGTAAATCCCTCAGCCCATAATACTGTTTTTTGCAGAAAATATGAACAGAAAAACATGTTAATCTCTGAGCGATACAAAATAGCAACTGAGGGTTTTAGGATACATAAATAATAAAATATTTCAAGAGCAAATTTAGAAAAAAATCCAACTTGAGTTGAGCAAATTCTATAATGTTCTGTACAAATATACTGGCCAGTTTTTTTTTTTTAGAAAACAACAGCCAAATTGTAAAATGGAAATGACTTACGCTAATAACAAGTTAAATAACCTGGAAAGATTTGGTTCAACAAGGGTTGTGGAAGACCGGCATCAGTGTTAGTGTTATTCATTCAATCTGATCAACTGAACAGAGATCTTCACTGTAAATAAATAAGAAATCAATCAATCGTTATTAGGTATTTGACATTTTTTATTCAAGAATAACAGACAAAATGTAAATAACATATTCTTTTTCAAATTACCTTGTAATTAATTACATATGATTTTTATAAATATTGGAACGGATGATTCGTGGAAGAAACAGCAAGAGATGATCCACTTGACATTGGACCAGACCATTAAATTGAAAGTGGACTTGAAAATATATGAGATTTAAATTTTTAATAATGCACTATTATTTGAAGACACTTGCTTTCCAGCCCAAAAGTCTAGGGATTAAAATACACACGGAGGTGGATTTTTTGTTTTGTTTTCAAAACTGTTGTTCACTCCCAGGTCTTCTTTTACTTTGATTTCACCGGCTGTAAACTAGGTCAGAATGTTCTGGTTGTTTGTCCACTACTGGACTTTGGTCTTGTTTCCGAACTTGAATTTTGCATGTACATATGTTTTACAACTCTTATTTGTATGAAGACTGTTAGTTCCTCGCACCTTAGGCAGATGCCTCGGAATGCATCTGCCTGACAGGCAAGGAACTTATGGACTGAATGGTTCCATGTGCAGTGATGATAATCTGTCGACTATCTGTTAAGACCCTGAAGAATTTAATGTTTTTTCATGTTTGCTGATTACTCCCTCCCTATTATTTTAGGGAAAGCGTAGACAAATACATTTTTTTCATTCAGGAACGTGATTGCCATGGTAAATTCAAATTATTCACATGATCTTTCTGTTTACATAACATAGGAGAGTAGAGTTTTATTGATATAGCCTCGGCCACTTTTAGCAAACATCTGATACCACACACTGAACAGATGTTTGCTAAAAGTGGCTGAGACTGTATTTATCAGTGACCTGTGTGAAACTGTTTGCTCAAGGATTGTTCCTAGAATTCCAAAGGTATCATGACCATTTTTTCTCCAAGTGCTCCAGTGGAGAGGGGGTTCATGATCTTTATCTTTTGGTTGCTCTTTCAGTCACTTCTAAGACATCTTATTTCTCTGGTTACTAATTTTCTTTTCTGTTTTGTTGTGAGTGACCATGTCTGACACTGGTAGCATAGGGTGGGAATGAATATGATATGTATTAGATGTGTTTTTGTGCTGATCAGGAGTGTCTTATGCTGTAAAGGGGAAAAAGGGGGGAGGGGGGGGGGGCTAGCTGTCCCAACAATTGGTATGTTTTACTGTTTTGGATGTTAATTTCTTCATCCAATTTCCCATCTTCTGTGAATGTTGTTCCCAGATACTTAAACCCAGACGCCTGATTTATGCCTTTGCACTCAACTGTTACAATTAGGTCCTGTTTCTTTTTAGTGTTGACTGCCATATTATTTATTTTACATTCATCCACAGATGTGAGATATTGCAATTTCATGGCTGTATTTGCACAAATCATTCTTCCAAGTGAATGTATGAACCCATATACTAATATCTGCCCATGCACATCTAGGATGAGAGACACACAACGATGGAGATCCATTGCAGCAAAATCATCACAGTGGAGAGGGCACCTGATTCTTTGATTGTCCAGGTTGCTTGACTGATTGTCTGTCTTGATTGATTGTCTGAACTGGCAGATTGTCTGTGTTGACTTATTGGCCATGTTGACTGACTGTCCATATTGATTGACTGTCCATGCCATGATGAAAGAGGTATCTTCTGTTAGTCTGTGTTAGCCGATTGTCTGTGTTGAGCGACTGTCCACGTGACTGATTGTCCATGTTGACTGAAGTATCCTTTTTTATCTGCATTCTTCTTGTACTCCAGCAGAAAGTACTGGTTGTTCGTCCACCACAGTCCTGTTCCAATACCTGATGGCTGCATGCACATCCATTTTACAATCTATTTTACAAATCTGACTCCTGTGTGTGCAGACTGTTGGCTCCTTGCCTCTCAAGCAGAAGATTGGCCTACAAATAGCTTAGATATCATTACCTGGAGTGACAAGACAATGTCACATTTCTAAAACATCCTTCCCCGTGTGGGTTCCAGGACCCCGTTGTGGGAAAAACAAGAATAGTCCCACCGCCTCCCCAACAAGCATGTCCTAGCAGTCGACCAATTGGGGACTTCCTTTGAAGTAGGAGTATATCTATCTAAGTGGCATGGAACTACCAACTGCACACAAGTAAGTGTTAAAATGGACAGTTAAAACAGACGCTGGACAGCGGCACCGTTCGGAACAGAGGCAAATTGTTTGCTTCTGCCGGACGGTGGCCGATGCATTTTTGCTCCATTTGTAGACTGGATATAGTTTCGTCGCCCAGCTTCTGAGTTGAATGCATGGCGTGACCCTGTGAGCTGCGGATTGCATTTGGAATGTTTTTTTCGACTGTGACCAACGTGGTGGTGTGAATTGTAGATTCAGAAAATGGCGCGATGCCTGTCGTTCAATGCTGGCGGGACCCATATTGAAATTGATCACGCGGACAACTGCTGATCTGTTGACGACAAGTTCTGCTATCATCAATGATGAACTGCATTTCTAATGTTGGACTGTTTATGTTAGCACTTCGGATGGCTACCATATGCGTTAATGCGAGTGTATGCTAGATATGCTGAGACAGCAGTCTGTCAAATCTTTCCACAAGGGACTGTGATAGACATTCTGAGTGTTTTTCGCTGGCACAGGAGCGGAGCAAAGATGGGGCGACCCGTTTGCTATGAAGCTGAAACTAAGACTACCAAACTAAGACTACCAGACTACCAGACTACCAGACTACCACTACCAGACTACAAGTAAGTCAGTAAAACAGATGTGCATGCAAAACCTAGGCCCTGGCTCAAAGCCAAAGTCCAAATGAACAAACAACCAGGACTTTCTGCCAGAGCTTTCAGCTGGTGAACAAAGAAGAAGAAGAAGAAGAATCCTTAGAAGAAGGCAGAAGCAAAGTTCTTTGGACAGATTTTTTGTAAAAGTCAAATCTGGTGAGTCTCAACCAGGTCCAAGTAGGAAAAAAAAAAAAAAAGAAAGAACACCAGAATTTTAGAATGCTGAAGTTTTATTGGGAAGGGATTCTGCTTCCAAACAATAACAACAACAACAACAACAACAACAATAACAACAACAACAACAACAACAACATCTCCTCCTCCCATCTCAGCACCATCCTTAGTAGGCACTCAACTTCTCAGAAAGGTAAAGTGAGGTTACATTTGCATTTATTTCATCTAATTGCTTTTATATTTATATATTTAGAATTAGGCAATAAATTATTTTATAAAAAACTTTATCAATGTAAATATAGTCTGCCAAAAAAGCTACTATAATTTTAGACAACCCCAAACAAAGGGAAACCTGTAATCCCCAGTGCAGTCCACGTTTCTACGGATGTTCGGTGCTGGTTTTTTGTAGCGTTTTGTGAACACTGAACATAACATTCCCTAGGATAGTGAATTCGCCATTCTGGGTTTCCCTTTGTTGGAGGTCATCTAAAATTATAGTACTACCAGAAACAACAGGACTTCCCCCCCCCCCCCCCCCTTCCCCTCAATGAAACTGATTGATCATTCTCCCTTGTTTGATAAACGCTCTGCCTGGTATAAGTCCAAGGATTTGATTTTTAAAAAAAAAGTTTTTTAAATATCCAGAAAACATGATTTGCTAACCCTTTGGCCTAGATTCCATGATAGATACAGTAAATCTGGAAGAAATGTAGCTTTTTCACCCTCGGGCATGAATCCGGACCACACGGAGTTCGTCACCTGGTCACAGCGAAGTCAGGTTTAGCGAACTACTTTAGCGAGCTGGGCAAGGACCCGATTAAGGATGTATAACGAGGTACCACACTATAGAGAAATCACAGATGCAGGACTAAGAGAACTAAGATAGAGATTTGAGTAATATGAGGAAACATAAGGTATCACAAAGGGTAAGGTAACTAGTGTGGCATTTTACTGTTGAAGACTTTGCTTCCCTAATTGTGTAGGGGGGGGGGGGGGGAGAAAAACTGGACACTATCCCTCAATTATAAATCTGAGAGTTGAACAGAATATTACCTGTGTGAAAATTACTACTGATACTGAATTTAATATTGAGACTCAAGGAAATTTAATTCAAAAATACAACTTTAAATACATAAATAATTAACGGAAACATATAAATAATTATTAATAACATTTATAAACTAAATATTTTAAAAATAAAAATGCAATTACATTTTCAATAATATCATAAACAACAGTTAATAAAAACTAGTTAAAACAATACAGAAAATATAAAATAAAAAATAAAAAGTAATGTTATAAAAAAAAACTAATGTTATTGTTATTGTAAAAAAATAATGTTTAATATAAAAATGCAATTAAAATTTCAATAATATCATAAACATCAGTTAAAAAAAAAAAAACTAGTTAAAACAATATATGAAATATTAAATTTAAATATGTGACCAAGTTGTGAGGAGATTCATAAAGTTTAATAAAACAGTCATTTGCATACAAAATAAATATCCGCGTTGATGCTTTATAAATATTCCGCCTGAATAGTATGCAAAACAAAGATAAAAGGATCTCTTGGAACTGGTATAGATAAAGTAAAGAATGACTGTTTGAAACATACAGCAAAAAGGACCCTTTTCCCACATCTTCAGGCATACTGAGCATATAACCTAGCCCTATATTTTACTGACCAATTTGTACATGGTGGTTGATGTGTGATTAACATCCCACTGGAAAACTTTACTTCCAGGACTTTACCTGGTGCCCACTCAAGGCTGGTCAATATATAAACATACTGGAAGCCAAGGTCGTTTCTGAAAGAAGTCTGGCTCCATTCTTGAGTATCTTCTTCTTTTTGTTTATCTGTGTGATGTAAATGTGCAGCTTTACAGCAAAACTGCAATATTTGTCCCTATTTACAGCAATGCTGCAATATTCGTCCTTGTTTACAGCAAAGCAGCAATATTCGTCCCTGGTTACAGCAAAGCAGCAATATTCGTCCCTGTTTACAGCAAAACTGCAAGTTTTGTCCGTTTATAGCAAAGCTGCAATATTTGTCCTTATTTACAGCAAAGCTGCAATATTTTGTCCTCATTTACAGCAAAGCTACAATATCTGTCCCTGTTTACAGCAAAGCTGCAATATTCGTCCCTGTTTACAGCAAAGTTGCAATATTCGTCCCTGTTTACAGCAAAGCTGCAATATTCGTCCCTGTTTCAGCAAAGTTGCAATATTCGTCCCTGTTTACAGCAAAGCTGCAATATTCGTCCCTGTTTACAGCAAAGTTGCAATATTTCCACCTTTTGGCTGACACATCCAACCTCACTGAGCAATTGTTGACCAGATTAACTTCCACGATAGTTTCATGAGACAGGACATAACCCTATTTATGTGGTGTTCTCTTTTTGCCCTTAACTCAACCTCGGCAAATGCTGTAGACCGGTGGACCCTCAAGGGAAAGTAGGGAAAATCACTGGCTTTCCCCGCCATCGAAGGACAAGAATCCTACCGCAAGGCTATTGTAGCTTTCTAGAACATGTAGCCTGCCGCAGGGTTACTGTACCTTTCAAGGACAAGTAGCCTGCCGCAGGGTTACAGTAGCTTTCTAGAACATGCAGCCTGCCACCGGGTTACTGTAGCTTTCTAGGACATATAGTCTGTCACAAGGTTACTGTAGCTTTCTAGGACAAGCAGCCTGTCGCAGGGTCACTGTAGCTTTCTAGACAAGTAGCCTGCCACAGGGTTACTGTAGCTTTCTAGGACAAGTAGCCTGCCTCAGGGTTACTGTAGCTTTCTAGGGCAAGTAGTCTGCCGCAGGGTTTCTGTAGCTTTCAAGGACAAGTAGCTGCCACAGGGTTACTGTAGCTTTCTAGAACATGCAGCCTGCCACATGGTTACTGTAGCTTTCTAGAACATGTAGCCTACCACAGGGTTACTGTAGACTTCTAGGATAAGTAGCCAGCCACCAGGTTACTGTAGCTTTCTAGGATAGCATGGTCAATAGCCAGCTGACACTTGGAAAAGATATTTGTTTCCAGCTAGGTTTTGCAGATGCAAATTCTCCATTTCTGGACCAGGAGTCCAAAGGTTTTGTTGCCCAGCTCGGTAAGACACTGTTGTGCCTGGAGTGCTGCTGACTGCACTAAAATGACAGGTAACCAGTTACCAGAATAGCTGTCATCACTGACCTTTGGCACCAACAGCGAGCTGCAATTTTGGTGTGGACAATTAGTGGTGCCACATCTGACAGCTGCCTTATGCATTTTCCCTTTGCATGTGCAAGCTTCCAGATTTTCCTGAGACAAGTTTCACACTAGTTTTCAAATGGGACACTAAGAGACATTTTGTGTGATTTCCACGGGCACAGGAATGGAGCAGTTGTGCAGTGATTTGTTCGTAATTGTGTTGCAATCTGATCTAACTAACCTGGAAACATACTGATCCCTGAGCCAGAAGCAGATAAAGAAAAAGTAGAGATTTTTAGTGCTTTATTAATATCCTACCCTTAACAGGGAAAATTACCAGGTCATATATTACCAGTCTAATATTTCAGGGGGTGGTAGAAATGATGCATGCAGTCGTGGACCTAGGCTGCATGCATTCGTGGGAACCAGGCTGCACTCTATCGTGGGACGTAGGTGGATTGGGGTTAGGGCCAGTTATAGATGTTTTGGGGTGGTTAAAAGCATCAGAAAGCCAGGAAACCTAGTCTTACCACCCTCTAAAATGTTGGACTGCCCTGTGATGTCATCTGGGGTCAGATATTAATAAAGAACCAGATTTTCTCTTGAAAAATGAATTTAAATTATAATCTTTCAACACATAATGTGACCCAAAAAATATTTATAAACAGCCCATGCTTAATGTAAACAAATGCCATACATAATATAGACATTTTCTTCTTTTAACATTCAACACATAATTTAAGACAAATTATAAACACTCCACACACAATTTAAAAAAACATTCAACAGATGATGTTTAAAAAACATGTTTGTAAACTTTCAACACAGAATGTAACAAATGATGATAAACTCATAGATAATGTAAAGAAATTATTAGTTGAAACATATAACAGGAACAAACGACAAACATTCACCACATAATGTTTGAAAAAAAAAATATTTAAATATTCAAGATGAGTGCTGAGCATGTATATAATTAAATAATAAACTAAATACTAAATAATAATGTGTTAAAAGCGGATGTGCCAAATAATGCTATAGATTTGCTATTTTCAGACACGATGCAACCAGCTGAATAATATTTTCAGAATAAAATAGGAAGTAGCAATCAGATTAGCCTGTAAAGCTACCGTACAAAAAAACACATACACATTATTCTGGTAAAACTAATTCTAGTAATAAAGGTCCCTTGCGTCTGTACCTTTCAACGTAAGGAGGATGGTCATCAGAAACTGACGTATAATTTCTATAGTAAGGTAATTCCAGCATCTCTGGCTTGAAACGTGGTAGAAAGTACACCCAGCACTCCCGAATCTCTGGCGGCTCAATGGGGTTCTTGTGTTCATCGTGGGTCATAGCAATTTCAGTTTTTAATCGAATGTAAAGATCTGGATGTGCCTCTAATTCGTCAAGTGCTGCAAGCTTTTCATCATTTACTTCAAATATGTGGCCCAGAACATTCTGAAATAAATTAAAAGTTAATTAACTCTTTCAGTCCTAAGCCAGAGTAACTAACAATGATTGCTTGAAAAAAGCTAATGAAAGTAGATCTCTACATACAAAAATAAGAAAGAGACAAACACTGCTCTTTGGCCACACAATGAGAAGAGAGATATTGGAGAACATTGTGACAACAACGGGAAAGATCAGTGGGAAAAGGGGCAGAGGCAGATCAAGAGAGATGATGCTGGATGGGCTGAAATGATGACATGGAGGGATACCATCAAGAGAGCTGTTCCAGTCAACCAGGGATCGTGATCTGTGGAGACGCATGAGCGCCTACGCCGGTTGGCAGGGCACATGGTGACAATTAGTCCCCAAACAATACACCATGTGCGACTGGATGTACTCCTATGCACCAGGGGATCTGGTCAACACTGTTCACTCCAAGGAAAGACAACAAGGATTTATAATCACACTGTTACTCTTCTTCATGTTCACAGACTGTAACTCGAGCGGAAAGTTCTGGTTGTTTGTCCACGTCTGGACTTTAGTCTCGTTCCAGAACCTGAGTGTTGCATGCACATTTGTTTTACAGATCTGATTTAAGTGTATGCAGACTGCTGGTTCCTTGCCTATCAGGCAGATGAACTCCGACTTTGAAGGAAGCTCCCAGACGACTCATACAACATGCTTGTTGGGGAGGCAGTGGGTCTATTCTTGTCCCAATAATGGGGCTCTCTCAGCAGACTGGCTGGTCACCCACAACAGTGACAAAAGAAAACAGCAGGGAGTGCAGTCAAGATGGTATCAATAACATAATGCAATAAACTGTGACTTAGAAGCTTAACAATGGTGGAAAAGGGGGTGGGTGGGTGGGGGGGGGGGGGGGGGGGGGGGCCACATACACACGAACAATCAGATGTTTCTGCAGTAGCCTTTAACAACAACAAACACAAGAGAATTTCACAAAGCATGAAGTTCACAGCTCCAGTAACAACCTCTATGGATCTGTAAAACTCCTGCACATGCAAACCTGAAGAATAAACTTTAACCTTAAACCTATATAACCTTGAGTGCTGACCTAACAATTGACATCACAGCACTGTGTGCATGCGAAACATCTTTGCACTGCCGACTGTTGCAGATAGGCTGAACGTGCTGCAGGCTAAGTTATACCTCAGAGTAGCTGCAGACAAAGAGCACCCTCTGTAAGAAGCCCTGGATGCAGGTAAGGGTCAGAGGCTGATAAGGGGGAAATCATGGATGGCTCGAGCAGAAGACACAATAAGATACGTATGCATGCTGAAGAACATTGGGCGACGAGAGGAGTGGGTCAGAGTACCAGTGGAAAAGTCTGACCAGTGTAGCGCCTCACAGCAGGAGTAAGTCTACTAAGATATTGTGCTGTCACTGCTCTGTTGTTTATTTAGTAGTCTGTGTACATTAAAAAAAAGAGTGTTGGTGATGTCCATGTTTTTTTCATCCGTAGTATACCTATGAGAATGATGCCTTCATGATCAAATAGGGCCGTGTGTGCAGAGAGTGGCCAGCGGGTGCTGAGGAGGTGGAAGTCCAACAGGTGACTCACGACAATTCACGCCCAAATGATCTGATTATCTATACAGATGGTTCGGTTTCAAAAGGAAAGAGAAGTGCCTGGGGATTCGTAGCGAAAGCAAACAGAAAATCTTTAGTGCAGGACAGCCAGGCATATGATACCACGACATCTAGCATGAGAATGGAGGTGAAGGAAGTCACTGCAACTCTCCGATGGCTACAGAACAAGATGCATACACATGCCGTAATTGACAGACTGTGAAAGCATACTGAGAAAGATGAAGACAAGGTTGCTTCAAGCAGAGTGGCAAGCTTCACTGGAAAAGTCTTAGGTAGTGAGCATACTTTGGATCTTTTCTCCAGGCTATGCCGGCATGGTGGGTAATGAACAGGCAGACAGATTGGCTGGATATGCACCACTGGTGAAATGAGACATGACAAGGCAGACGTAGTCAGGGCCCTTTGGGAACAAGTAACAAAGTCAGAAGAGAAAATGGATTATTATGGCTTGAAGAGAATGATGCATCTGGGAAATACCAGAGGATATAGCCGGCTCACTACACTCAGAGGAAAGGCAAGACAGACATAAAACTAGACTATGTCCAGCACCAATAGTATTGAATCTGGCTGGCTGCTGATGATGAGGACGGAGCGCACATGGGAGTCCCGAGTGCTGTGATATTAATTCTTAACTCAACATCACAGAACGGGACATTCCAGTAAGGGCTCCGTCCTTATATTCAGCAGACAACAAAGAGTTTCAACTCTGATGGCGCCAGTAGCAGTTTGATTATATGTCCATTTTCTTTTCTTCTGGGTGTAGAGTGTCAACCCGATTCCCCTGGTCACTCCTAGCCGTTTCAATCTCTCCAGACTATAATGACTTATTCAAGCTTCCACACTGTTCAGCTGTTGCCAAAGGGCCTTGACCACCTATAACCTTCACAGTACGAAGCAAGTGGCATAACCTCAGTCTTAGTTTTAGTCTTAATCTTAGTTTAAGTCAAAGCCTTAGTTTAAGCCTTAGTCTTAGTCATAGCCTTAGCCTTAGTTTTAGTCTTAGTCATAGCATTAGCCTTAGTTCTAGTCATAGCCTTAGCCTTAGTTTTAGTCTTAGTCATAGCCTTAGCCTTAGTTTTAGTCTTAGTCATAGCCTTACTCTTAGTCTTAGCCTTAATCTTAGTTTTAGCCTTAGCTGAGGATTCAATTTTCCTACCACATCCAGCTTAAGAATAGAGGTGGAGGTGGTCACTGCAGCTTTCCTCTGGCTAGAGAACATGACACGCACACACATTGTAATTGTAACTGATTCAGAAAGCATGCTGAGGAAGATCAGAACAGGTATGCTTCGTGCAGAGTGGCATGCTTCGCTGCGGAGGACACGAGTGAGTATTGTCTGGATTTTTTCACCTTGTCACGCCGGTGTGTTGGGAAATGAACAGGCGGACAGACTGGCTGGCTCTGCACAACTTGGTGGAATACTGCTACATGATAGACGTGGTTAGTGCCTTGTGGGAGAGTGTGTACAATGCGGAGGAGCAGATGGATCACCACAGTTTGGTGAGATTGATGCAGTTGGGGGTGACGAGAGGTTCTGGCAAAAGCTCAAGGCTCAGAGGAAAGGCAAGACGGACGTTTAATTAGAAAGCTACTGGCACCATTAGTATCGGAACTCTTCGCTGGCTGCTGAAGATGGGGACGGAGCGCTTATGGGAATGCCCCGAGTGCTGTGATGTCGGTTCTTGAATCAAATCAAATCAATTTTCCTGCAATCAGGTCACCCCATACTTGCTCCATTCCTGTGCCAGTGAAATCAAATGAAATGTCCCTCTATGTCCAATTTAAAAAATTGGTGAACAAACTATTAGTCATTTCAAGCAACTATTCCGGCTGTACACACAGTGGAGTGAAAGACATTAAAGAGCCGACAAACTGGTCATGTCTGTAATGGCTGGTGCAGAAAGAAGTATGGACAAGGCCGACATGCTGAATGCGTTGTGTTCCAGAGAGGCTTAGAAAAAAAAAGAGGCGGAGATGAAGAACCGAATGATAAAAATGGGTACTGAATGAGGACAAGTGAGCAGAAACCGGTGGCAGGGCCAAGACAGAAGATATGCCATCAACTCCTGATGGGTACATTAGGCATGGAGACAGTGAGATGGCTGCTGCCTCAGAGGATGGGACATGACTGGGTCGGACCAATATGCTGGAATGTGGATACGGATAACAGCTGAGTTGAGATGAGTCAAGAATTGACATCACAGCACTCGGGGCATTCCCATGCATGCTCCATCCTCATCTTTAGCAGCCAGCACAGAGTTCCAATACTGATGGTACCGGTCACAATCTGGTTAAAAGTCCGTCTTGCCTTTCCTCTGAGTGTAGTGAGCCAGCCAGACCCTCTGGTTACACCCAGGTGTAGTGTTGACTCAGTGGGCCAGTATTTTCTTCTTAATGGGCTGTACAAGGGACATTCTTGCAGGACATGTTCTGTAGTCTGCACACACGGCCCTCAACGGTGAACTATTTAGACGAAGCCTGTGCACATGCTTGTTAAGTCTGTTATGTCCTGTCCTAAGGTGTAGAATAATGACCTGTCCATGCCAGTCAAGTAAGTGATAGTCATCTCTGGCCAAACTCTGTTCGCTTCTGATAGACTGGATGGCCCTTTTATTCTCAGAGTATGTTACTGCATTCTCTTCCTGTTCACATTCTGTCCCTTTCTTAGCAAGTTTATCTGCGGTTTTGTTTCCTGGTGTACCACAATGGGATGGCACCCACTGGAGTACAGTACACTTTTAGGCAACCAGATTGCCAAGTTCAGATCTCAAGTGAGGGAGTTTACTTGGAGAACCGACAGCGAATCTATGAAGATGACCACTTGGTAGCAGCCAAACTGGTGTTTAACATTCTAGCAGCCTGCTCTAGTGTAAGGATCTCTGTGTGTAGTTGGAATAGAATTTACCAGTGGGTATATACTTAGTGTGGCAGTTGCTGTCTCATTATGTGATAAAGACGCCAGCACACCCATTTTAAACTGCTCTGGTTGCTGATTCATCTCTGTAAGCATCTATCCACGACTGTTGACCAACAATCCAACCAGAACTTTCTGCCGGAGTTTACAGCCGGTGAATGCAAAGAATAACAACAAGCAAATCTTCTTCTTCTATGTCTGCGTTTGCCTTCAAAAGGGTGTGTGGCATGTTGCCTTGTGGTCTAAGCTAGGTAGCAATATCCGCACTTTTGTCCAGCATTTTCAATTTCAGCTCATTCCTAATTAATTCTATTTTACGACTTGTTGTGGCCTATTTCCTCAACTCCCCCCCCCCCTTTCCACCCCCAATCCAAAAGCAAGAGTGCCTAATTGGTCGTCTTTTATGAAATTCTGTGACCTTTTTTTCTCAACACCCACTGCCCTTGCTAAGAAGAGAGACCAGAATGCCTAGTTTTGTTTTGTGTGGTCTTTTCTCTCCATCCCCTACCCCCTTTTCTTTTTCCATATGGTTCCTCGGAACTCACCCAAACTGGGAAGAACATACATATAAAGACATAACATCATACCTCTCCTTTCCCTTCAACAAGAAGCAGAAACGGGACTGAATACTGAGATCCCACCACAAGAGGGTAGCGTTTAACAGTCTCACCAATTCCAACAAACCGATAACTGCCAGTTTCTGGGCTGCTCATTATGTGAAAATTTGGCTCCCCGCATTTCAGAGTTCCGTACGAAAAAACGAGATGCGTCTGAGCCATAGCTGAAAGCAGACACAGTACAAATGAGAATGGCGCACGGGAAAGGGGAAGGGGGAGAGATACTTTGACCTAAATTACGGAACTCACACAATTAAAACAAAAATAGAAAAGTGGAAGTAATTCAGTCTTTGTACTTTATTATATGCTGACGTTACAGGGTATAAGTAATACATCTGAGAAAAATGGATAAAGTTTAAAACTGAGAGTACTGACTTTATCGCACCGGTTTTTATCCCGTATGGCTTGGTCTCTCTTCGCAGAACGGCTAGCCGCCTGCCGACAGCGTCACACACAACATGAACTCTGTAGCTCTGATGATGATCCGCGAGGATCTCCATAAAAATTGCATGGAACTGGATGGGGCAGCCATGGCAACCCATGACCTTCAGAGTACGAGGCAAACTGCTTGACCACTTCTCCATGGAAACCCGCTAAACTTGGCAAGACACATGAAAATATGTCTCACAATAAACTGTGCACTACATTGTTTGTGTCTGCATTATTATAAATAGAACGAAATAATTTCATTCATTTCTTGTACTGCCGTGTCATTATATGTCACAGAGGGCTGGCAGTCCTGTCACAGAGGGTTGGCAGTCCCTGTCACAGAAAGTTGGCAGTCCTGTCACAGAGGGTTGGCAGTCCTGTCACAGAGGGTTGGCAGTCCATTTCTCCATTCCATTATATCCTGTGCAATCACTCTGATATCATGTCCAGCACTTAATCACTCTGATATCATGTCCAGCACTCAATCACTCTGATATCACATCCAGCACTCACTCACTCTGGTATCATGTACAGCGGTCAATCACTCTGATATCATGTACAGCACTCAATCACTCTGATATCATGTACAGTGCTCAATCACTCTGATATCATGTACAGCACTCAATCACTCTGAAAAAATGTCCAGCACTCAATCACTCTGATTTCATGTACAGCACTCAATCACTCTGATATCACGTAAAGCACTCAATCACTCTGATATCACGTCTAGCACTCAATCACTCTGATATCATGTCCAGCACTCATTCACTCTGATATCATGTACAACACTCAATCACTCTGATATCACGTCCAGCACTCAATCACTCTGAAATCATGTACAACACTCAATCACTCTGATATCATGTACAACACTCAATCACTCTGATATCACGTAAAGCACTCAATCACTCTGATATCATGTAAAGCACTCAATCACTCTGATATCATGTAAAGCACTCAATCACTCTGTTATCATGTACAGCACTCAATCACTTTGATATCACGTCCAGCACTCAATCACTCTGATATCACGTAAAGCACTCAATCACTCTGATATCATGTCCAGCACTCAATCACTCTGATATCATGTAAAGCACTCAATCACTCTGATATCACGTAAAGCACTCAATCACTCTGATATCACGTCCAGCACTCAATTACTCTGATATCACGCAAAGCACTCAGTCACTCTGATATCACGTCCAGCACTCAATCACTCTGAAATCATGTACAGCACTTAATCACTCTGATATCACGTCTAGCACCCAATCACTCTGATATCACGTAAAGCACTCAATCACTGATATCAGATCCAGCACTCAATCACTCTGATATCATGTACAGCACTCAATCACCCTGATATCACATCCAGCACTCAATCACACTGATATCATGTACAGCACTCAATCACTCTGATATCACGTCCAGCACTCAATCACTCTGATATCACATCACGTAAAGCACTCAATCACTCTGATATCATGTAAAGCACTCAATCACTCTGATATCATGTAAAGCACTCAATCACTCTGATATCACGTAAAGCACTCAATCACTCTGATACCAGGTGAAGCACTCAATCACTCTGATATCATGTAAAGCACTCAATCACTCTGATATCACATAAAGCACTCAATCACTCTGATATCAGGTGAAGCACTCAATCACTCTGATATCATGTAAAGCACTCAATCACTCTGATATCATGTAAAGCACTCAATCACTCTGATATCACGTAAAGCACTCAATCACTCTGATATCACGTAAAGCACTCAATCACTCTGATATCATGTCCAGCACTCAATCACTCTGATATCACGTAAAGCACTCAATCACTCTGATATCACGTAAAGCACTCAATCACTCTGATATGACGTCCAGCACTCAATCACTCTGATATCATGTCCAGCACTCAATCACTCTGATATCACGTAAAGCACTCAATCACTCTGATATCACGTAAAGCGCTCAATCACTCTGATATCATGTCCAGCACTCAATCACTCTGATATCATGTCCAGCACTCAATCACTCTGATATCACGTAAAGCACTCAATCACTCTGATATCATGTACAGCACTCAATCACTCTGATATCACGTAAAGCACTCAATCACTCTGATACCACGTAAAGCACTCAATCACTCTGATATCACGTAAAGCACTCAATCACTCTGATATCATGTACAGCACTGGACATCCAGTCCAGCACCTCTAGTCTCTCTCTCTAACGTTTGCCTCCGTGTTTCATTTGGACATCCCCGTTTCCTCAGTCTCTCTATTTGCAATTTCCATTTCTGTTTGGTGATTCTCTGTTCGTCTCTTCTCAAAATCATCATTGTGTGCCCTCCCAACTGGTGTAGGCGCTCATACATCTCCAAAGATCACAATCCCTGGTTGCCTGGAACAGCTCTCTTGATGATATCCCTCCATGCCATCATTTCAGCCCATCCAGCATAATCTCTCTTGGTCTGCCTCTACCCCTCTTTCCACTGATCTTTCCAGTTGTCACAATGTTTTCTAATGCCTCTCTTCTCATTAAGTGGCTAAAGAACATTGTTTGTCTCCTTCTTATTGTTGTCTTCTCATAATGTGTTAAACTATACACCATCTCCAATTGTTTTATAACCCTTGATGACCCATACATTCTTCACTTCTTTTGAATTCGGGTTGGTTAAATGTTGGCTGCAATGGATCTCCAACAATCCCTTGTCTTGATAGTAAACTTTCTCAGACTGCTGTCCATTCATCTCTTAATGTCTTCCACCATGTATCGTTGTCTGCCTCTTGCCTTTCTCAAATACAGCTGTTGTTCATCTTCCTAATGTGGCATATGGGAGCTTCAGTACTGTCACCTGTCTTGTCCCGGCGGGAAGTAAATGACGCCGGTTTGACATTAACCACATCACTGGAGTGCCGATAAATAATCAAAGTTAAAAATAGGTTGTTGCACTCATCCTCGCCGGATGCGTCCTCACATGTAAAAGGATACTTCAACTTTCTACACTCCATTATAATAAATCAGTAAAAATAAAAAGTTAATTATGTTATATTTTGTAGAGTAGTGCTATAATTACTATAACTGTTCGTGTAGACAGTGTAGTTCCAAAATTAAACACTCAACTTTTTAGTTACTATGAACTATGATAAATTTTTAATGGGGTAGGGAAGAGAAAAGGTTTGTAAGAAAAAACAAACAGTTTATGTTAGCTTTAATAGAAATACACTAATAGCAACTGCCAGTAGACGACATGTCTCAAATACCTCCCAGTTATCTGTGACAAGTGACAGTAAGTTGGTGGTGATTTCTGCTCTGTCGTGTCACAGAGCCGCACAAGTCAACAATGTGTTTTAGTGGAGGGACTGACCCTTGACCCTGTCTATCAAAGCGTATTGCGGTTATATTTCCGGGTTTTGTGTCTATTAACACAAGCAGATACCTCGCAGTACTAAAGTGAATCTTATCAGAAGTATTTGTTGCTATCAATGCCAAACGTGGACATTTACATCATCCAATGAACGTAAAATTGTGACAACAGAGATGAAATGCCTTAGAAGAGCTGGTTTCAAGGAAAGACAGAATACGAAATCATGAAATGAAACGAATGCTAGGAATAAAGCCAGTCTTACAGGTCATCAAAGAACAACAAATGAAGTGGTTTGGACACCTAACAAGAATGCCCTGGTACTATCTGCCACAGCGAGCCACTCTAAAACGTTACAACGGGTATAGAGCGAGTGGAAGACCTCGGAAAATATGGAGTGATGGCATTAAGAACAGCCTTACAGAAAGGAACATCAGTCTTAATAGTGCTCTTGACAGAGCTCATCAACGAACATTACATCTGCCCCCCGACACTTCGATGAAGTACAAGGTGGAAGAGAAGAAGAAGAAGAAGAAGAAGAAGAAGAAGAAGAAGAAGAAGAAGAAGAAGAAGAAGAAGTGTCTATTAATACAATTTCTTTCTCTCTCTCGCTCTCTCTCTCTCTCTCCCCTCTCTCCCTTCCTCTCTCTCTCTCTCTCTCTCTCTCTCTCTCTCTCTCTCCCCTTATCGTCAATTCATTCCTTCTTCTTCTCTTTTTTCTTCTTCTTCTTAACATAAGCAGATGGTTCTAAATTTGGTAGAAAGTTCTAATTGTTCGCCTACTTCTAGACTTTGGTCTTCATCCAGAGCTTAAGTTTTGCATGCACATCCGTATTACAGATCTGGCTTACTTGTATGCCGATTGTGGTTCCATGTCTCTCATGTAGATGCACTTTGCCTTTGAATGTACTCATTAGTCGCCGCCTATGACCCCCCCCCCCCACCCCCACCCCATGGGGCCAGGAGTCCACACGAAGACAATGGATACTACATATCCCAGTTATAATCATGTGGCAGAAAATGATCACATTTATTTGTAAACAAGGTACAACTCACGAAGTCGGGTCCAGAAAGAGAGTGACTTCCTTTGCCATTCATTCCTGGTCGTGTCGCAGGGTCTGTCCTATGTTGCGGGGGTGTCACGCTTAGTGATAGTCCATCAACACAATGAATTTTGCGCGTTGTTGTCACCTGCTGATATTGACTTTTCTCTTTTCTACGAAGTGAGCGCCTTTAACGGTTTCAAAACTGGTCCTAACTCACCCCCCCCCCCCCCCCCATGACGCCACAGCCTCAGCCTAGGTCCCACCATAGAGTGCAGCATACTATGACAACGACACGTAAAATACGTTGTGTTTCTGGACACTCCCTAAGCGTGACCCCCCCCCCCCCCCCCCCGCAACATTGGTCAGGCGTAACGACACGACCAGGGTTGAATGGCAAGGGAAGTCATTCTTTTTCTATGCTCTTCGTGAGATGTTCCATAAACAATTATCCCATTCCCTGACACGTCAAATAATTTCGCAACCTCCTAAAGTGGTTTTACAGAAAAATTCTTTTTTTGTTGTTGACCTCAACAAACCAAACCAGATGTTCTGAAAAAGAAAGATTCGAAGGCAGCTTATCGCAAACATCGTAGATAAACATTTATCATCACTTCTTATGTTGTGATTAAAAGAGAACTGTGACATGGTGTGACCATTGGGGAGATTTGCGGAGAAAAAGGTAAAGGAAGATAACGCGAACAGATTTTTTATAGCCTGTTGTCATGACATGGATCGGTGTCAGCACAGGAACTGACACATTCTGTTGAAAAGCTCAGATTGTGGAGAGGCATGGTTTCATACACCAGTCGGCAAGGCAATTGAAGATGATGAAACTACTGCTACCAACATCTAGGTCACCGTTTAAACCCCACCCCCTTTTGCCACACTCCTGGATTGCAGCCTAAACTAGTGACACCCATTGATTCAATGAGACACTGTTCGAATCCTAATCGAACAGGGGCTAACTACCACAAACGTATAAGCTGTGACGTATAAAAAATGCGTCAGGAAAAAAAAGGAAGAGAAGAAGAAGAGACAGGGTCACCAATGAAGAACTGAGAACAATGGCAGGACATTACCAACTAATTAGTAATTTACCATTAGTAGAAGTACTTTGGAGTGGCTGCTGCTTCGGAGGACTGCGCACGGGTGTGCCCAATGTGCAGTGACGTCGATTGTGTGAACAAAACATAAAATAACATTTTATAGGAAGTCGGCATTCCGAAACCCAAGTTCTTCGTGCCAAAGAACTGCATGGCTGTTGGGTGAGCAGTCGTTAACGAAGGCAGTCAGGTCGTTGTAGGGGCGACGCCTGCTGATGGATGTAATGTTCTAAGTCCCTCCCCTAGCTAATAGTGAGGGTACTGCTGGGGCGACCATTTATTAACCCTCACATAATGCTTCAGGTCAAAATGGACGCTAGGCACGGCCACTTTTTTTTTTAGCCGTGGCAAATGTTTTTTTTTTTTACTTCTGCCAGGCGGTGGCCGTCGCATTTTTGCTCCATTTGTAGACTGGAAGGATATAGTTTCGTCGCCCAGCTTCTGAGTTGAGTGCATGGTGTGACACTGTGAGCTACGTGTGTTTTTCGTTGGCACAGGAGCGGAGCAACTATGGGGTGACCCTTTTGCTATGAAGCTGAAACTAGGATTACCAGATTACCAACTAATAATTTCATTAGAAATCAAAGAATCATATGGTTTGGTCATCTGGTCAGAACTAGGAAAGGGGTTGGGGGGAATCAGTCAGCAGCCAACGCATACTACGTGAGACCAGCAGGCTACATGTCAAGGGGCTGACCAAGATACAAATGGGTGGAGGAAGTAAAGGAGATACTAAAGAAATGCAGTATGACATCTAAACACCTAACAAAATGCAAAATAATATATCTATAAGCATAAGCAGTAAGACAAAAGAAGAAGAAGGGAAAAAAAGGACGTAAGTTTCTGTCCAGTGGTGGGTTGACAGGCGAATACAAACTAAGGTCACGTTTTTAATATCAAATGAGGCCTGATTAATCTTATCGTTTCCTAATGCGGAGTTACTGTCCTTGTTTTGCAAATTGACTGCGATCTCATTTCGTATACGTTTGTGTGGCGGATAAGCACAACGTACTTTTATTGTCACGTCATGGCGTTTTTCTGTTATATAAGTGTTATCAAGTGACGCAGTTGGTTCTTTGTCAATAACAGGGGTGCCGATTCTTAGGGAGCTCATCCACTGGAGCTGGGGCGGAGCAAAGAAGGGGCCAAAGTGCCCCTCCCCCTTTTTTTAAATAGAAAATTTGCAAGTCCACTAAACGCCCCTCTCCCAGTCATGTATAGAAGTTTTTTTTTTTTTTTTTTTTAAATGTTTGTTTACACATTTCGAATTATTTCAGAATTCAGAACATAATAATTATTTTTGCATGAGCCAATAGGCCCTCATTAGTTTATAGAAAATACAATTCTAAGCTCCGTAATGTTTTCTTTGTGTCGGTCAACACTTAAGTGGTTCTAAAAACACGAACATATGTAAACGAATAAAATAAATGACCTTTTTCACGCCATGGTTTCAGACCATGCTGGTTTTAGGTATACGCTAAGTAAGCTATAGATTGGGGCCTCACAATCTGCAGGGGCCGAAAAAATCTTTTTGTGTTGTCACAAATGTTATTTTCTTTTAATAGAGCCTTTTAGACGATTAAAGGAGGCCTCGTTAGCACAGTCGATAGGAGACTCGCTTTCAAATCCAGCAGCGACTTGCTGCATTCCACAGCCGGTGGTCGAAACTGGGCGGTTGCCAGGGTTCACCCAGCCTCTAGGAAATGGGTACCAGAGTTAACACTCAGGGGAAAATGGATTAATCAAGTAACAGAAAGTATTGTGAACGGCACTCATAGAAAGAAGTAGAAAGAGAGAATAACACACTAGATAACATAAAAATCGAAAGCTATAGTTACCGTGCCGGGAATTGAACCTGTCACCCCCAGACGGCGTCTGTGCCTCGCCATGAATACGTGCACTAAGATACATGAATTCAACTAGGGTAAACCCCCCCTTCCCTGAAGCTAAAAAAAAAAGTGCGGACGGCGTCATTGGCCATGTCTATCGTACAGCTTGAAATCCACGACTATGGAATATGGACAGAATTCATTTATTTATAGGGGTAAATGGAGGAACTTCGCTGAAGCTACGGATTTTCGTGCGGACGGTGTCATAGGCGGACAGTTTCCTAACAGCTGTCCGTACTGGAGACAGAGCACTTATGGTTTATAACCGCGTGCTGGTTCACGTCTCCCGACTTTACCTTACCTTTACCTTTTTAGAGGATTAAATGACATAATTAACGTGATTTTGCAAACACATTCTTTATTATTTCTTTTACTAAAAGCCTGGAGGTTCGTAGCGGAGGCCATTGGGGGTCTTTAGTGAGGGACAGCGTGCGACATCACGGCGTCTGGCGTGGGAATGGGGATGGGGGCGATGGCTTCACTCTCTGGTTGCTGGGGAACGGGATGCGTACACATGTCGTGATTGTGGCGGACTCTGGGGGCATGTTGAGAGTGGTGAGGACAGGGATGCTTCGGGCAAAGTGGCGGTCAGCATACTGTGGATCTTTTCTCCGGGCAATGTCGGCGTAGTGGGTAGTGAACAGTAGGACGGGTTGGCTGGATCCGCGCCGCTGGGTGGTGAGTTGATGCATGGCGGGGCAGATGTTGGTCGGGGTGCTGTGGGAGCGGGCGACGGAGTCGGTGGAGAAACGGGATTATTATGCCTGGGGAGAGTGAGGCGCTTGGGTGCGGCCAGAGGGTCTGGTCGGCTCACTGCGCTCTGGAGAGGGGCGGGACGGACGTATATCCAGGTTGTGACCGGTACCATCGGTGTTGGAGCTCTGTGCCGGCTGCTGATATATATATATATATATATATATATATATATATATATATATATATATATATATATATATATATATATATACACATACATATATATATATATATATATATATATATATATATATATATATATATATATATATATATAACAAACAGAATGTATTAATCAGCACTCATAGAAAGAAATGGAAATGTAAAAGGACACACTTGACAACATAAAAATCGAAAGCTGTAAGTTATCTTGCCGGGGATCGTACCTCTTCGTCAACTCTTAGCACATGTGCTATCATGTTCCCATTTATTTTATTGCATTTAATCAATCAGGTGTCATCTTCACAGTAAATTTTGGCCGCAATAGACCTCTAACACGTTCGCTCGTGTCTTGATAGTACACTCTTTCAGACTTGTGTTCGCCCATGTCTTATATTGTTCTTCCCCTCCCCCACCTGTCTCGTTTTCTATCTCTTGCACTCAACGTTTTCCTAAAGTTTAATTGTAAAGAGCGTTATGTCTTTCAATGTGACCCACATATTTCAACCCCCCCTCTCTCTCTCTCTCTCTCTTTCTCTCTCTCTCTCTCTCTCTATATATATATATATATATATATATATATATATATATATATATATATATATATATATATATATTAGTAACTCTTTTTTTCCCGTCTCCTCAAGAAATGACATTGGCTCCCAGATCGACCTATCCTAAAACGGGTACCAGGTAAACTACTGGGAAGTGAAAGCGGCCGTCCTGCTGCTGACCACATTTCTCACAGAGTGCCGATTTGTCTATAAAATATGGGTCTAGCACTATGGCCACTATATACACAACACGTCTAGTGGTGTAGAAAAGGGCTCTTTACTCTGCTTCGCCGAAATAAATTGGGAAGAGGAAGTTAACAGGTCAACAATCCGCGTCTATCCCATTATGTTGGAGCCAATAACTCCCAGTCCACACACATACAAAGAGACGCCCTCTCCCCTCGTGTGACATCACCAACATAAACCAAAACATTGCAAGCAGGTAGTCCATCAGCTGAGAGACCTCTCTCAGTAACACCCGCCACCATTGGCCCCTACACTCTATTTTTATACCTCCCAACCCCCATAGTATCTCAATTCTCACTCTTCCACCTGTTATAACAACATGACAAACAAGTTTACTCATAAAATAATTTATTTGAAATTATATTTCAATAAAACAAGCTTAATTTCTGTGAAAATCCCAGGTGGTATAAAGAAACTTGGAAATTACGTCAGGTGGGACCAGCCAATGAAAAGGAGTGTTACAAAGGCGAGCAAGCAGACGATTGTTGTTTTGGTTCTCGCCTGCTTCCATTTCTCCCGTCTCTCAGCTCTACTCGACGTTTCCTCGCGATTCTTTTCTGTTCATGGCGTAAAGAAATGAATAATCACAACCATAACAATCATTACAGCAGTAATTCTAAAAACAGAACAGAGGTAAGAGATGGCTTTGGTGTAAAGGTGTTTTATGTTTACGAGAAACTCATGTTGTTAACTCCGTCTTGCTATTTATTCCTTTGTTGTCAACTTCACTCATCCTGTTAGCGTTGGATCTACACACACTCCGACACTTTCTATGCGATCAAAAAATACACTTTATTATTGAGATTTTCCTGAAATATTAATCGTTATCTGAAAAGTGTGTTTCTATCATCATGCGTTAAAAAAAAAACACTTGCAAAACTAAATATTAAATAGATATTATTTTTTCGGCAATCAATCCTTGCATCGGCGACCCTAGGGGCTAATCAGTGGGTGTTTACGGGGACAGTAAGGGAGAAAATTCATCGTTTGTGTGCGTTCGCATAATAATATTTGGCTCTCCTTGCACCTTTGGACGCTAGCTGGACGGCTTAGGTCGGCTTAGTGGTAGTTCTCTCCCTTAGCCGCATTGAAAACAAGTAGCGGAAAAAGTCACGAATTAAACAAGACAGTGAGGTCGACATCAGGGCTGCCAATGCTTGGTTGTGTCCCCCAGATCTGGGTTTTTCTTTTGACGCTGCTGGGAAATCTGGGTTTTTTGTGGGTGTTTTGCCAATATGTATGCTTTAATGACCGATAAATTTGCCTGGTTAGGGTTAGGGTTAGCGGTAGGATTAGGGTTTGGGTTAGGATTAGGGGTAGCGTTAGGGTTAGCGTTAGGGGTAGGGTTACGGTTAGGGGTAAGGTTAGGGGTAGGGTTAGGTTTAGCGTTAGATGTGACAATTTTGACGCCGTAGTTCCCTATAATCGCGCACAGTCACATACACACCCAAACAGTCACGGACGGTGGATGCTACTGACACGGACAATTCGCCACCGATTGGGCACCAGCCGCGCGCTATTGTCGCCCAGTATTTGGAAGTTCTACGTCACCATTTTCACATCTAACCCTAACCCTACCCCTAACCCCTAACCCTACCCCTAACCTTACCCCTAACCCTATCCCTAACCCAACCCACACCCTGCGCAACCCTGCATGCAACCGTATGATGATGATAGACACCCTACGCAGCACTACACGCAACCGTATGATGATAGGTAACCCTAGACGCAACCATATGATGACTACGCAACCCTACATGCAACTGTACGCAACCCTACACGCACCCGGATGATGATAGGTAAGTATGTCATTTGATTCGTGACTTTTCCGCTCGTTGTTTTCAATGCGGCCAAGGGAGCGAACTTCCACTAAGCCGTCCAGCTAGCGTCCAAAGGTGCAAGGAGAGCCTAATATTTTTTTCCATGTTAAAAAAAACTTGCAAAACTAAATATTAAATAGATATAATTTTTTCGGCAATCCTTGCATCGACGACCCTTGGGAACGTAATCAGTGGGTGTTTATGGGCACAGTTAGGGAGAAAATTCATCCTTTGTGTACGTTTGCATAATAATATTTTTTTTCCATGCTGATTTGACTTTAGGTTTTTTTAAACATGTTGGCTATCTTCCGAATAATGGTCCAAAATTATAGAGGACGAAAATATACCCTAACAGGGCCTTAGTCACATGTCAATTGCAGACTTCCTGTGACTTCAATTGATCACTTCCTGTGACTCGCCACCGCTGAGAGTATCGCCCACGCCGCTACACGCAGCGTGGATTGGGGCTAAACTAGGTGGCGGTATAGTCCCCTTAAGTCCGCAATTGACATGTGACTGAGGCCCTGTTAGGGTATATTTTCGGCCTCAATCATTTGGGACCGTTATTCGGAGGATAGCCAACATGTTTGGTAATTCTTTCAGTCCCATAGGTCAGTAGTTGTCATTTGAAGGAGGCAACAGCAACGTTAAACCAATAGGTTTTCCACTTTTGCAAGGCAAGATAGCATACACCTTGCATAAAAAATTAATAAATATGTAAACACAAGTTGTTGTTAGCAATCATCATCCCCTTGTGGGATGCAATTTTTAGTTATTTTGAAGCCCCACCCTGGCTTTTGCTGAAGGGCCCTAAATATAGCCGGACCTTAAATATACACTAACGGCTTAACAGGGTTTCCAGGACCTTTCCATGGGTGATCCTCATCTGCATGGTGGAACTTTGTGTCACCGGGTGTTTATCGCTTGTGTGATGTCTTGGTGGGGTAAAAGTTTTGGTTGTTCATGCACTCCAGAACTTGGTCTTGATCCAGAACTTGGTCTTGATCCAGAATTTGGTCTTGACCCAGAACTTGGTCTTGATCTAGAATTTGGTCTTGATCCAGAACTTGGTCTTGATCCAGAATTTGGCCTTGATCCAGAATTTGGTCTTGATCCAGAATTTGGTCTTGATCCAGAATTTGGCCTTGATCCAGAATTTGGCCTTGATCCAGAATTTGGTCTTGATCCAGAATTTGGTCTTGGTCCAGAATTTGGTCTTGATCCAGAATTTGGTCTTGATCCAGAATTTGGTCTTGATCCAGAACATCCTTTTTTTTTTTTTTTTTTTTACAGATCTGGCTTATCTATATGCAGACTCTTGGTTCCTCGTCTCTCAGGCAGATGCACTCCGACTTAGAAGGAAACATTCTTACTTGTCGACTCTTGTTTCAAGGTAGTCATTCTCTTTGCCTTGCTCCCTGATAGTTGTAGGTTCAGTTTTGGACTGCATGTTTTAGTTAAGTGCAGGCCTTTTATCAGATGTCTCTGTGGATTGTCGCTGAAGCTACAGAGGTCCATGCTTTGTGTGGCGCTTTCAGCAGGTGGCCAGCTACTCTGCAAAAAGAATGTTGGAATAAGAATCGACATCACAGCACTTGGGGCACTCCCATATGCGCTCCACCCCCATCTTCAGCAGCAAGCAAAGAGTGCCAGCTCTACTTAGGGCTTCATGCAGCATTGGATAAAGCCATGTGTATTAAAATCAATCTTCTAACATTTCATCATTTTTAAAATAATTTTAGAGGGAATTACATCTTTTTGTTCATGAAGAGAAAAATCTTGTGTTTGGTTTCAGGAGAAAGGAAAAAGAAAAAGACACAGCAATTCTAGAAATGGAGCTTCCCCCAGCAGTTTCGATTGGACCACCATTGTAAGAAATCTGAGAGTTTTGAGATAAAATGGCTTTCTTTTCTTGAACACTTTCAACCTTGTGAGGTTTATGATAGATAAATTACCTGGAGGAAAGGTGGTGTGTAGTCATCTTGTCTGCAGACATCTTTCTTCCTCGTTGGCTGCCAATTATTTATTGTCAGTAATTCAATCAGGCACTGTCTCTACAGTGATGTTTGGCTTCAGTGGATCATCAACACCTTTACTTACTTACTTAGTCGCTCCTCTTCTACCTTGAAGTGTAAAGGTTTGCTAGAGAGGTCGCTAGACTCCTCTATCTGCAGTTTTCTTTTTGGTTTTGTTTCATTCCTGTCCTCTAGGAATGTTAGATGTTCTCTTCCCAGCGAACGCTGGAGATCTTCAACATTCTCTATCTCTTATCTTGGTAATACGCTCTCTCAGACTGCTGTTCGTCCATCTCTTGGTGGTGTCCTCCCACTTGTATGCGTATCTACCTCCTGCTGTCTTGCCTTTGACATTTCCCTCCACTATGGTTTTTTAAAATATGTTAATAAAATAACAGAAAATATCATGATCAGCACTCATAGAATGAAGTAGAAAGATAAAAGAACACACTAGACAACCTAAAAATCAAAAGCTTTAGTTACCGTGCTGGGAATCGAACCTGTCACCCCCAGACGGCGTCTGTGCCTCGCTTTGGGAACAAGTGCATTAAGAACATGGTCAGCTAGGCACCTCCTTTAAAAAAGGTGTCTTATTGGCCATGTCTGTCGTACAGCTTGAAATCCACAACTTTGGAATATGGACAGAATCATTTCAAACCATTGAAATCGCACCATAGGTTACAGAAATTTATATTAACGAAGCATAGGTCGAATAACAAGCACAGCTACAATTTACGAACACAGTAGACCTTAATGTTTTGTCTAGAATACCCAAACATGTGTTATGTCTTTTAACTGGGGTCAAAATATTTCATTTGTTTCTTTTTTATTTCGTTTAGTCTTCTTTGCGTCCACCAGCTGTAAACTCTGACAGAAAGTTCTCGTTGTTCATCCACTTTCTGACTGCAGCCCTGTTCCAGAACCTGAGTGTTGCGTGTGCATCCGTTTTACAGATCTGACTCATTTGTATGCAGCCTGCTGGTTCCTTGCCTCTTAGGCAGATGCACTCCAACTAAAAAAAAAAGCTTCCAATTAGTCGACTCTTAGGACATGCTTTTAGGTAAGCAGTGGGTCTATTCTTGTTTACCCTGTAATAGGGGCAGCGGAACCCAGAATTCTCTTTTCATTCACAGACTCTCCAGAACCTTTGTATTTGATTTTTCCCCTCTTGATATACATGACCAAACCATTTGATTTCTTGTCTACCTATAAAGTTCAATATTGGTTCTGTGCCAACTCTCCTCCTTATATCATCGTTCCTAACTCAATCTTTCCCCGCATAGTACCTAAACATTTCTTTTCTATTTTGACTATTTTCATTCTAACTTCTGAAGACAGTGTCCATGCTTGACATTGATAGCATAGTGTTGGTAAGAATATGCATACCAGCTGCATAAAGGTAGCCGGTGTGATGCCGACATCGCCCACCAAGAACCGACTGGGCTATTTATATATATATATATATATATATATATAAATATATATATATATATATATATATATATATATATATATATATATATATATATATATATACACATACATATATATATATATATATATATATAGAGAGAGAGAGAGAGAGAGAGAGTCTAGAATCAATCGCCTCTGATGTAAAAACTATTACATTTTTACTTTTTTTAAACTTAATCTGAAATCAAACCCATGCCCATCAGATCGATCTGCAAACATTCTAGCCATTATTTAGAGTGAACAGTAAACATGTTGATCGTCACTCATAGAAGTAAATAGAAGGACACCTAGACAACATATAAATTGAAAGTGATAGTTAATATGCCATGGATGGAACCTGTAAAGTGATAGTTACTATACCATGGATGGAACCTGTAAAGTGATAGTTACTATATCATGGTTGGAACCTGTAAAGTGATTGTTATTATATCATGGATGGGACCTATAAAGTGATAGTTACTATATCATGGATGGAACCTGTAAAGTGATAGCTACTATATCATGGATGGAACCTGTAAAGTGATAGTTACTATTTCATGGATGGAACCTGTAAAGTGATAGTTACTATGCCATGGATTGAACCTGTAAAGTGATAGTTACTATATCATGGATAGAACCTGTAAAGTAATAGTTACTATATCATGGATGGAATCTGTAAAGTGATTGTTACTATATCATGGATGGAACCTGTAAAGTAATAGTTACTATATCATGGATGGAACCTGTAAAGTGATAGTTACTATATCATGGATGGAACCTGTAAAGTGATAGTTACTATATCATAGATTGAACCTGTAAAGTAATAGTTACTATATCATGGTTGGAACCTGTAAAGTGATTGTTATTATATCATGGATGGGACCTATAAAGTGATAGTTACTATAATATGGATGGAACCTGTAAAGTAATTGTTACTATATCATGGATGGAACCTGTAAAGTAATAGTTACTATATCATGGATGGAACCTGTAAAGTGATAGTTACTATATCATGGATTGAACCTGCCACCTCCAAATGATGACAGCGCCTCGCAGCAGGAGTAAGTCTACTAAGATATTGTGCTGTCACTGCTATGTTGTTTATGTAGTAGTGTACAATAAAATAAGAGTGTTGGTGATGTCCATGTTTCTTTCATCCGTAGTATACATATGAGGACGATGCCCTAATCAACAAGAAACTTCCAAAGGAGTTATTATTACGGTAAGTTAATATTTGGCCCGTACTTTTTTTTTAATTTTAGGAAAAAATAATACCTATTTCTAGACCCTGAAGTACACCCTAAAGTCCAGACACATAGGAAATAAAGATTGAATGTGCTAAAATTGATGGCAGTGAGGAAGTATTACATCGAGTTCAAGGCATTGAAATAGCAGACAGATTGGCCAGAAGGACAGTGATATGATGCAGTCAAATAGTGACCTAACCATAAAAAAGATTAAGACATTAAATAATCTAGTATCCATGAAAAGTGGCTGGATACATACACCTAATTTTCTCCTCAAGATTTGCTTCTTCGCCTCTCTAGGGATGGACAGTGTGTTTTATAAGGACAGGGCATAACAGACTTCACCAACTCATGTTCAGATTTTTCGTTGTAGGAAACATGGAGACGTGTCCCTGCAGTGTGGCACCAGAAAATACTGAGCATGTGCTCCAGCACTGTCATCTGTATGTTGCCAATAGAGAACCAGTCTGGCCGGTTCTAACCACAATGAAGACAAAGTTGTATGGTACACAGGGAGTTTTGGACTACACGATAGGTTTCATATAGGTGTGAAAGACTTCTGATATGTTTTCTGACAGAACCTTGGAAGAAGAAAAAGACAGTACTTTAACTCCTCAGTCACAGACAGTCATTAGTTTAACTCCACCAGCCACAGACAGTCATTAAACTCCATCAGTGACACTCAGTACTTCAACTCCATCAGCCACAGACAGTCATTAAACTGGAGGACTGCGCGCGCATAGGTATGCCCAATGTGCAGTGACGTCGATTGTGATAACAAAACATAAAATAACATTTTGTAGGAAGTCGGCATTCCGAAACCCAAATTCTAGGTGTCTCCTTCGTGCCAAAGAACTGCATGGCTGTTGGGTGAACAGTCGTTAACGAAGGCAGTCAGGTCGTTGTAGAGGCGACGCCTGCTGGTGGATGTAATGTCCTAAGTCCCTTCCCCAGCTAATAGTGAGGGTACTGCTGGGGCGACCATTTAATAACCCTCATATAATGCTTCAGGTCAAAATGGACGCTAGGCACGGCCACTTTTTTTTTTTTTTTCAGCCCTGGCAAATTTTTCCTTTTTTACTTCTGCCAGGCGGTGGCCCCTCACATTTTTGCTCCATTTGTAGACTGGAAGGATATAGTTTCGTCGCCCAGCTTCTGAGTTGAGTGCATGGTGTGACACTGTGAGCTACGTGTGTTTTTCGTTGGCACAGGAGCGGAGCAACTATGGGGTGACCCATTTGCTATGAAGCTAAAACTAGGATTACCAGATTACCAGTCATTAAACTCCATCAGTGACACTCAGTACCTCAACTACATCAGTCACAGACAGTCATTATTTTAACTCCATCAGTCACAGACTGTCAATGTTTGAAACTTCATCAGCCACAGACAGTACTTTCAAATCATCAGCCACAGACTATCATTATTTTAACTCCTCCTGGGGCAGAATGTTTAAAAGTAACGGCTATCTGAGAAAGAATGTTTTAATATTGAAGACAGTTATTTAGCAGTTTATCTTGTCATTTGTTGTTGAAAGCAGATGATGTCATCATTCAAATGTTGTAATAATAAATATAATTCAATCTGTTGCAGAATATTCTCATTCTTGGATGTGGTCTCATTATGCCGATGTGCTCAGGTGTCTAAGGTATGATTTATGGTTAATGATGAAGACAGTTCACCTCAAATATCACATACAAAGTTAAAAAAACAAAAAAACATTGGGAAAATATAAAGTGTGTGTCAGGTTAGCTCGCCTGCGGATTGGAAGGTCGTGGGTGCGCTGCCTGGCAGATCCAGACTTTAAAAAAAAAAAAAAAAACGTGGCTCCAAGGTCGACGCAGCCTTGAGTGGGTACCGGGTGCAGTCCTGGGAAGTAAAGGTGGCTGGCATGATGCTGACCACATCACCCATCTTGTGCTGATTGGTCTATAAAAATATAGGTCTAGCCCTGTATGCCCTTTCCACCTAATACGTAGGAATGGGTCCTTTATTTGTTATTTTACTTAAATGTCAGATTTACTTGATCAATTACAGTAAATAAACTGAATATTTTCCAGTCATTTCCTCCTTTTATATGTTGTATATATGGTGGGGGCAGAGTTGTGCCGTGGTATAGCGGCTAGATGCTAGCCGGCCGGATCGGATGGTCATGGGTTTATATTCTGACAGTCTGTTGTTGTTTTTTTTTTTTTCAAAAATGATCATGCCTCCCAGGTTGACCCAGCCTTAAATAGCTACCAGGTACAGCCTTGGGAAGTAAAGGTGGCCAGAGTGATGTTGACTACATCACCCACTGTGCTAATGGGTCTGTAAAATATGTCTAGCCCTATATGCCCAGTACACCTTAAGGCATGGAAAAGGGTCCTTAATGTTTTGTATGATCACAATCAACATCAATGCACATTTGGTATTTCCATACATGCTGAGTCCTCTGATGCAGAAGCCACTCCACTGTACCTCTACTGAGAGTTTGGTTACAATGTCTCCTCTCTTGGCCTAAAAGATGGCATAGTTGTCCTTCGCAGTGCTTCACTTTTAGCTCACACAATTGATTTAGCATCATAGATTCATCGTTTTAAACTTTCAAAGATGTACTGCAGTCACCTCATTTGAAGTTTGAGGTTTGAACAACAGATCAACATCATGGCAGACGGGTAGTAACCCATAAGTGCTCCGTTCTTCTTCTAACTCAAGTCTGAGTCCGAAGAAGCTCAGCACAGTGCACAGGCTTTAAAGCAACGGCGAGGATCCTGAAATACTTTGGGTAGATTTTTAACTCCAATTTTTTTCCCGGGCTACTCTTTTCGATTTCCAACTGCCAAGGGATTTTTTTACGTGCGCAACAATACTCATGGGCATCCAATCTCACTGCCCAGAGATGAAGGGGGAGTGACTAGAAGCCCAAGTCCACATAAAAACCACAGCCCTTACCTGGGATTGAACCTGGAACCTCTAGCACCGAGACGGACACCATGCCTCGAGACCAGGCAGCCTCCTTCACCTCATTTAACTTTTTCAATCCCAAGAAATGCATCATACGTTCCTATGTTCCTACCCAAAAGCCCAAATAAGTCAGGATGGGGGGATTATTTATTTCTCTTTACCACCCCTTGGGCCTCTGATGCTAAACCCCCTGAGACTGAAAGAGCTAAATGTATACCCACATACATCAGAAAGAGGCAGTTATATGTTGGTCACATAACAAGAAGCGAAGAATATTACAGCTGGAAAGATTTATGGATAAAGTAATCGGGGAAGACAATAGTCAGCCTTTTATCAAGAAGACACTCCCCGTATGGGTTCGGGGCTCCATTGTGGGGGAAAACAAGAACAGACCTACTGCCTTCCCAACAAGAGTGTCGTAGGAGTCAACTAACTGGGAGCTTCCTTTGAAGCCGGAGTGCATCTGCCCGAGAGGCAAGGAACCAATAGTCTGCATACAAATAAGTCAGATCTGTAAAACGGATGCACACAATACTCAGGTTCTGGAACATGACTAAAGTCCAGAGGTGGATGAACAACCAGAACTTTGGGCTGGTGTTTACAGCCGGTGAACTTGAAGAAGAAAGAAGAAGATCAAAACACTTTAATGAATAAATTCTGTTAAGGATTCTGATAGACAGCAGCATGATCTCCCATGCCAATTAGAAAAGAACTTGATGATGATGTGTCATTTGATGGGAAAAAAATTATCTTGTCATTCTAATTGTAATTTCTTTCAGCAGAGAGTTTTAAGTGAGTTAAATGGGAGTAGACCATGAGGCAGATCAAGAAGACGGTGGAGAGATAATATACATGCAGGCTTACAGACACATGGAGTCACCAGCTGGAAAGAGAAGGCCAGTAACAGAAATGACTGGAGGTGGGTGATGTCTGCAGCAGTCAACCTCAAGGGCTTGGAATACTGAAGAAGAAAAAAAGCATGTTAAAATAGATTTTTATCTGGGACTTCTTAGGGTGTTGTGAATCTTTTTTCCTTTGTTTTACCTTTACTTTTTTATCTTTTAACTTAACTTTTTTAAAATTTGTAATCTTTACTTTTGTGTGTGTGTGTGAAAACAATAAATAAAGTGGTTTGGACACCTAACGAGAATGCCCTGGTACTATCTGCCACAGCGAGCCACTCTTAAAAGTTACAACGGGTGTAGAGCGAGTGGAAGACTTCGGAAAACATGGAGTGATGGCATTTAGAACAGCCTTACAGAAATGAACATCAGTCTTAATAGTGCTCTTGATAGAGTTCATCAACGAACATTACATCTCCCCTCGACACTTCGCTGTACAAGGTGGAAGAGAAGAAGAAGAAGTGAAAACTTTGATTATTAATATAAACACAAAGATTTATAGTTAAATGTAAGTTAAAGTACATGTTTTTTTTCTTCAAATTTCAGTACTGGAATATACTTGCTTTAGATGGCAGCAACTGGCAGAGAGTTGATCTTTTTGATTTCCAAACAGATATTGAGGTACTGTTAGTAATTGTTATACTCATTATACATTTGTTTCTTAATGAGTTATTCTTACCATCATTTGTATTTTAAGATTTCCATTTTCAAAATGGCAGCAGTAGGTGGCTTTTTTAGTTTTTGGCATCTGTGAGTTTTCTTTCTGATAATTGTGTCCCCTTATTTTCTTCTTCTCCTAAGTTTTAACTGGCTGTAAACTTTTCTGGTTCTTCATCCATATTTGAACTTTGGTCTCGGCCAGAACTTGAGTTGATTTGATTTGATTCAAGAACCGACATCACAGCACTCGGGGCATTCCCATAAGCGCTCCGTCCCCATCTTCAGCAGCCAGCAAAGAGTTCCGATACTAATGGTGCCAGTAGCATTCTGATTAAATGTCCGTCTTGCCTTTCCTCTGAGCCTCGAGCATCTGCCAAAACCTCTCGTCACTCCCCGCTGCATCAATCTCACCAGACTCAGGTGATCCAGACAATACTCCTCACCCGTGTCCTCTGCAGCAAAGCCTGCCACTCTGCACGAAGCATGCCTGTTCTGATCTTCCTCAGCATGCTTTCTGAATCAGTTACAATCACGATGTGTGTGTGTGTCGTGTTCTCTAGCCAGCGGAAAGCTGCAGTGACTGCCTTCACCTCCATTCTTAAGCTGGATGTTGTTGTATCATATGCTAGGCTCTCCTGCACCAAACGTCGACCATTAACTTTTGCTAAGAAGCCCCAATCACTTCTTTTGCCTCTTGACACTGAACCGTCTGTGTAACTTGAGTTTTGTATGCTTATCCATTTTAGAGACCTGACATATCTGCCTATTGGTTCTTTGCCTCTCAGGCCGATACATTCTGTCTTCAAAGGGACCCCCTCCCAAACCCATTTAATCACCTTGTACGACATGCTTGTTAGGACGGTAGTGGGTCTGTTCTTTTCCCCTAGAATATGTGGGGCCCAGGAGTCCACTTGTCAGGAACTGCTGTACTGTGTGCATTTCCAGCGCAGGATGGGTTGTGTGTTTTTCATGGAAGGAGAGTGTACAGTGGTTGAGAGATGTTCAACATAGATGGCAACCAATGGAGATGAGACTGTGGCTTTGACTGGCATGCAGTTTGACAGTGTATTGGCTGCAGCGACCCGGGAAGACAGATCTCATCAGAAGGTGACCACAGTTGCTTAGGGAGCACAACCCCCCCCCCCCAACACCCCCCCACCCAACACACACACACACACACACACACACACACACACACACACACACACACACCACACACCACACACACACCACACACACACCACCACCACCACCACCACCACCACCCACCCACCCCCCCCCCCCCCCACACCACACACCACACACCACACACCCACACACACACACACACACACACACACACACCACACACCACACACCACACACACACACACACACACACACACACACACACACACACACCACCACCACCACCACCACCACCACCACCACCCCCCACCCCCACCCCCCCCCCACCCACACACCACACACCACACACCACACACCACACACACACACACACACACACACACACACACACACACACACACACACCACCACCACCCACCACCACCACCACCACCACCACCACCACCACCACCACCACCACCACCACCACCACCACCACCACCACCACCACCACCACCACCACCACCACCACCACCACCACCACCACCACCACCACCACCACCACCACCACACCACCACCACCACCACCACCACACCACCACCACACCACCACCACCACCACCACCACCACCACCACCATCACCACCACCACCACCACCACCACCACCACCACCACCACCACCACCACCACCACCACCACCACCACCACCACCACCACCACCACCACCACCACCACCACCACCACCACCACCACCACCACCATAACCACCACCACCACCACCACCACCACCACCACCACCACCACCACCACCACCACCACCACCACCACCACCACCACCACCACCACCACCACCACCACCACCACCACCACCACCACCACCACCACCACCACCACCACCACCACCACCACCACCCCCCCCCCCCCCCCCCCCCCCCCCCCCCCCCCCCAGCTATACCCAGAAACAGAATGTCAACCATTTCTTTTTCTGTAGGAATAATCGACATCTACATACAACTCTAAAGACAAAATAAAAAGTCATGAAGATGTCTTGGAAGAAACTGACGCACAAAAAGAATTGATTGCCCACATCAGAAAGACACAATCTACATTCTTTGGTCCTGTGATTAGAAGGAAAAAACTGGAGTACATCATGATGGTAGGAAAGTTGGAGTGGAGAAGAGGCAGAGGGAGGCCAAGAAAAAAATATGATGGACAGTTTAACATCTTGGCATGGAGGATCATCTGTGTCAGAGATGATTGAAAGTATTGAAAGTTGTGGATAGACATGACTACCAACGCCACACGGCATTGACTTTAAATAGACGGACATCTCAGCGGTTGTACACAAATACTTATCTGTCTGTCGATGCCACTACTTTTGGTGAGGGCCATATAAAACTATAACTGGGTTCCACATCTTGGAAACACACACAAAATAGCATTTGATGACAAGGGAACGCAACAGTGCAAAAGAAAAATCACATACAGTGAACACTAACATAGCCCCTTGTCACCACTTTGAAAATGGAAGTCACAGTGAGAGTTCAAAGGTAATAGAAGGTTATCTGCTTGACCAGCTCCTTTTAATTTTTCAGTTTAGGGTTGCACTATCTCGAAGCATGGTGTTCGCCTCGAGTGCTAAAGTTTCCGGGTTCAATCCCTGGTAAGGGCTAGGATTTTTTCACGTGGACCTGGACTGCTTGCAGTTCCCCTGGTCTCTGGGTAGTGAGATTGGACGCCCGTGTGCGTTGTTTCGCAGGCAAGAAAAAATCCCTTGGCAGTTGGAAATCGAAGAGAAGCCCAGGCACAATTTGGAGTTTAAAATCTACCCAAAGTATTTCAGGATCCTCGCCGGTGCTACAGAACCTGTGCACTGTGCTGAGCTTCTTTGGGCTCTGATTTGAGTTAGAAGAAGAACGGAGCACTTATGGGTTACACCCCTGTGCCATGATGTTGATCTGTTGTTCAAACTTCCAATTTTTCAGTGGAACTCAACTTGACTAACAATGCAATTTTTTTGTTTTAAAACTCTTTATGTGGATTTTTTAAAAATTATGTGGCGCTGACATATTGTATGTGTAAGTTTGCTTTGACCTTTCTGTGCAGGGACCTGTAGTGGAGTACATGTCGCAGAGATGTGGCGGGTTTCTCAAGGCTTTAAGTTTGAAAGGTTGTCAGTGTATAACAGACAGAGCTTTACAGTGAGTTCTACTATGTTATAAATTTGCTGAATGTGAGGTTTTTGTTACCATGTACTCAAAATAACCAATAGCCGGTTGACGGCTGGCACTTTAAAAAGTTATTTGTTTCCAGCTAGGTTCTGCTGATGCAAATTTCTCATTTCTGGACTTGGAGTCCAAAGGTTCCGTCACTCAGCTAATGAGTTCAGTTCTTGGTACAGCACTGTGACCTGTGGATTTCATCTGGAATGTTTTTTGTCCTATTGTGCCCACGTTGTTTTGTTAAATGCCCTGAAATGTCAGGTGGCCGATGACATTCAGAATGGCATATACTTTTACGGATGCTATGTCAGCTTTCATGATTGGCCATTAAGGCCATTAGTGAGCTGTAATTCTGGTGTGGCATGGTTATTGTTGCCACATCTGACAGCTGTCCTATATATTTTTACTTTGCATGTGCAAGCTTCAAGATTTTGCTGGGACTGACAAGTTTTCGCTTGTTTTCAAATGGGAAAGTAAAGAGGTTTTGTGCATCTTCACTGACACACAAATGGAGCAGAAGTTTCTCCAAAGTATACAGCCAGTGAATGCAACAACAAAAAAGACAGAAGAAATGATTTTGTAGGTGAAGAAAGCAATGAATGTAAATTAAAAGCATATTTTTCTACATATTATTTATGGCTTATCTTTGCAGGATATTTGCCCAGCAGTGTAGGAACATAGAGTGTCTGTGTTTGAGTAAATGTAATGAGATTTCTGATTTGTAAGTATACCTTTCTGACCATGTGATAATAGCACAACATCTTGTTACAGAAGTATACATTCCGGTAGTGTATGTAGCAACATAACACATTCTTGTACTTTTTATAACAACATAATACATTCTAGTACTTCTTATAACAACATAACACATTCTTGTGCTTCTTATAACAACATATTCTTGCACTTCTTATAACAACATAACACATTCTTGTACTTCTCATAACAACTTAACACATTCATGCACTTCTTACAACAACATTCTTGTACTTTTCATAGCAACATAACATATTCTTGTACTCTTAATAGCAACATAACACATTCTTGTACTTCTCTTAACAACATAACACATTCTTGTACTTCTCATAACAACACATTTTTGTAGCAACATAATGCATTCTTCTAAGAACATTAGACATTTTTGTAACATCACAACACATTCTTTGATTTCTTCCAAAAACATTACATATTTATAAGGCAACATGACATATTCTGTGTTTGTAACAATAAAACACTTTTATGTAACCACTTAACACATTCTTGTTACAACATAATAACACATTCTTTAGCAACACAGTGCATTCTTATTACAACAGAACACATTTTTGTAACAAGATAGCACATTCTTATACTTTTAATAGTAAATACATTGTTATACTTCTTGTTGCAGGATTATACCTGTTATGCTTCTTGTAACAACATAGCATTCTTATACTTCTTATTACAGCATACCACTTATAGTGCGTCTTGTAATAGTATTAACCTGAACTGCTGTTGTGTTTAAACTTGATTCAGTAATCCATTGGCACAATAACTGTTGTACAAATGCTTGAGTCAGTAATCCATTGGCATAAAGACTGCTGTACATATGCATGAGTCAGTATTCCATTGGCACAATGACAGCTGTACATATGCATGAGTCAGTAATCCATTGGCATAATGACTGATGTACATATGCATGAGTCAGTAATCCATTGGCATAATGACAGCTGTACATATGCATGAGTCAGTAATCCATTGGCATAATGACTGCTGTACATATGCATGAGTCAGTAATCCATTGGCATAATGACAGCTGTACATATGCATGAGTCAGTAAACTATTGGCACAATGACAGCTGTACATATGCATGAGTCAGTAATCCATTGGCATAATGACTGCTGTACATATGCATGAGTCAGTAATCCATTGGCATAATGACAGCTGTACATATGCATGAGTCAGTAATCCATTGGCATAATGACAGCTGTACATATGCATGAGTCAGTAATCCATTGGCATAATGACAGCTGTACATATGCATGAGTCAGTAATCCATTGGCATAATGACTGCTGTACATATGCATGAGTCAGTAATCCATTGGCATAATGACAGCTGTACATATGCATGAGTCAGTAAACTATTGGCACAATGACAGCTGTACATATGCATGAGTCAGTAATCCATTGGCATAATGACTGCTGTACATATGCATGAGTCAGTAATCCATTGGCATAATGACAGCTGTACATATGCATGAGTCAGTAAACTATTGGCACAATGACAGCTGTACATATGCATGAGTCAGTAATCCATTGGCATAATGACTGCTGTACATATGCATGAGTCAGTAATCCATTGGCATAATGACTGCTGTACATATGCATGAGTCAGTAATCCATTGGCATAATGACAGCTGTACATATGCATGAGTCAGTAATCCATTGGCACAATGACTGCTGTACATATGCATGAGTCAGTAATCCATTGGCATAATGACTGCTGTACATATGCATGAGTCAGTAATCCATTGGCATAATGACAGCTGTACATATGCATGAGTCAGTAATCCATTGGCATAATGACTGCTGTACATATGCATGAGTCAGTAATCCATTGGCATAATGACAGCTGTACATATGCATGAGTCAGTAAACTATTGGCATAATGACTGCTGTACATATGCATGAGTCAGTAATCCATTGGCATAATGACTGCTGTACATATGCATGAGTCAGTAATCCATTGGCACAATGACAGCTGTACATATGCATGAGTCAGTAATTTATTGGCACAATGACAGCTGTACATATGCATGAGTCAGTAATCTATTGGCACAATGACAGCTGTACATATGCATGAGTCAGTAATCTATTGGCACAATGACAGCTGTACATATGCATGAGTCAGTAATCTATTGGCACAATGACAGCTGTACATATGCATGAGTCAGTAATCTATTGGCACAATGACAGCTGTACATATGCATGAGTCAGTAATCCATTGGCACAATGACTGCTGTACATATGCATGAGTCAGTAATCCATTGGCATAATGACTGCTGTACATATGCATGAGTCAGTAATCTATTGGCACAATGACAGCTGTACATATGCATGAGTCAGTAATCCATTGGCATAATGACTGCTGTACATATGCATGAGTCAGTAATCTATTGGCACAATGACAGCTGTACATATGCATGAGTCAGTAATCCATTGGCACAATGACAGCTGTACATATGCATGAGTCAGTAATCCATTGGCACAATGACAGCTGTACATATGCATGAGTCAGTAATCTATTGGCATAATGACTGCTGTACATATGCATGAGTCAGTAAACTATTGGCACAATGACAGCTGTACATATGCATGAGTCAGTAATCGATTGGCATAATGACAGCTGTACATATGCATGAGTCAGTAATCCATTGGCATAATGACTGCTGTACATATGCATGAGTCAGTAATCTATTGGCATAATGACAGCTGTACATATGCATGAGTCAGTAATCCATTCCCCCGTGTGGGTTCCGGGGCCCTATTGTGGGGAAAACAAGAATAGACCCACTGCCTCCCCAAAAGCATGTCGTAAGAGTCGACTAACTGGGGAGCTTCCTTTGAAGTCGGAGTGCATCTGCCTGAGAGGCAAGGAACCAGCAGTCTGCATTCAATTGAATCAGATCTGTAAAACTGATGCACACGCAACACTCAGGTTCTGGAACAGGACTGCAGTCCAGAAGTGGACGAACAACCAGAACTTTACACCAGAGTTTACAGCTGGTGAACGCGAAGAAGAAGAAGAAGAAGAAGAAGAAGAAGTAATCCATTGGCACAATGACAGCTGTACATATGCATGAGTCAGTAATCCATTGGCACAATGACAGCTGTACATATGCATGAGTCAGTAATCCATTGGCACAATGACAGCTGTACATATGCATGAGTCAGTAATCCATTGGCACAATGACAGCTGTACATATGCATGAGTCAGTAATCCATTGGCACAATGACCGTTGTACATATGAGTCAGTAATCCATTGATTATCCTGTTTCACTACCAAAATCAAATGTTTCATGAAGGTTGGTGTTATTTTTCAGAACCTGTGACAGTTTAGGAAAATACAGCAGTAAATTACGAAAACTAGACTTGTCATCTTGTCCAAAGATCACAGATCTCTCGCTCAAATTTCTCAGGTAGTGTGACTTGTTGTTTGTTAATGGTTTTGTTTTTAATATTAGTTTCTTTTGCTTTTTATTTTTCTTCTCCTTCTTCTGCCTTTCTAACAACCCCCAGTGGAGCATAGGCCCAAGTCGTTTTTGATTTTTTACATTTTTTTATTTTTTGTAAAGTGGGTGGTTAGTTTTTGGGGCTGTTGCTTTTTACAGGATGAGGTAGCCAACCTCAAGCCAAATCCTACCCTTAGTCGCCCCTTTGACTTGCCTGGTAGGGTGCAGTGTTAACATTTTTTGCTTCCCCTGCCAACCACCATTTTAAGTGTGGACACAGGAAACAAAGAAGAAACATGTTTAAAAAAAAAAAAAAAAGACAGCAAGTGTGTTACTTTTCAAAGAGCCTCATTAACTAATCAATAGTCAGCAGATTCTTTACAGAACGTTATTCTCATCAAGGAATGTCTGAAAGTCTCTCTGTCTCTGCCCTATGTGCTTTCATAGCCAGTGGACCTTCCTTGTCTTATATCGTCCTTCTTGGAGGTCAGCCTCTGCTTCATTTTCCAAAACTATTCACTCCATCAGCCGTTTTTCTTTGAGGCCACCATGCCATTTACCATGACTAAAATACCCTCGCTTTTTGAGACAGGATGCCGTTTATTAGAAAGTTGACCTCTATGTTTAGATCATGTAGGATGTTGATACCTCAGTGATTTCTTGTTTATTCCAGTAACACAGCCGAAGGACACGGATGTCCACACCTGTCTTACCTAGATGTTTCCTGGTGTAAGAACATTACCGATGAAGGTGTTATAGCTCTTGCTGAGGGCTGTCCAAAGATGAACACATTTTTTTGTAGAGGCTGTACACAGGTGAGTGTTTCCAGAAATGTCCTATATACCATTATTATAGGCTTCATTGTTCAACATATGATAGGTAGCCAAGCCAGTGTGTGATCAGTTGCTGGGTTTGCTGTGATGTTGTGAAATGTTGGGCTGTGTCACGGGCCACTTTCTCGTTTGTTGTTACTAAGCTAAATTGTATATAAAAGTCTGAATGGGTGGTATAGATTACTAAGCATAATGTATGTGTGAACATGCTCTTCAGGTTGCGTTTACGCTGGTGAAACAAACGTTTTTTTTTAAGTATAGTTGATTTTTGTTTCAGTTTGACAGATTCATTTATTTGCTTCATTTTAATCAATCATTGTAGTTTATATTCATTTAGTCGTCCCCATGTTGGATGCTATTTTTTGTTATTTGAAGCTCCATCCTTCCTTGTGCCGAGGGCCCTGAAAATAGCCAGGGCATAGATATGGCCTAACGACTGAGGGGTTTCTGGGACCTCTCCGTGGGTGATCCTCATCCGCATGGTGGCACTTTGTGTCACCGGATGTTTATCACTTTGTGTGATGTCCTGGTGGAGTATAATTACCTTCCTACATGTAGTTGTAGTATGCACCTGACGAAATACAGCCAAATATATCAGGCAATAAATTGTGCAATCTATTGTTTGTGTCTTCTTTGTATTTCTAGTGTGGGACTGTTTGTGTTGGCACTTCTGATGGCTGCTTTATGTATTTAATGCATGTTTTTGCTATTGACCTTGCTGAGACAGCAGCTTCTGTTATTCTTTTTCATAAATGACAGAGATTGACATTTCATGTGGTTTTCGTCAGCACAGAAATGGCAGATAGATTAGCCAGTTCTTCACCACTTTGTGGTAAACAGATGTATGACAAGCTAGGTGTTGTGTGGGCCCTTTGGGAGCAAGTTAACAGTGCTGAGGCACAGATAAATCTTTACAGTCTGAGGAGAATGGCGCTGCTGGCAGTTACCAGAGGATCTGGTTGATGCTTACCTCAGGGGAAAGGTGAGACACAAACAGTTACTGGTACCATTGGAATTTGAACTTTTTCCATGCTGCTGAAGATGGAGATGGAGCGCTTATGGAAATGTCCTGAGTGCTATGATGTCGATTCTTTATTCAACATTCTCTTCATGATTCAGTTTCATTCAAGGCATCTTCATTATTCTTTCTATCTCTCCAGGGTATTCTTATCATTCGTCTGTAAATCCATGTCTCCGCCACTTCCAAATAGTTTCTCATACGCAACTAACTTTTAAAATATCTATTTTGTGATCTTTTTCAGATTAGCAATGAAGGTATAGAGAAGCTAGCGACAGCTGTGGAGCATTTAATGAAACTCAACATACAACACTGTGTGGTAAGTTTGTGCAACATTTCCTTCTGTATATTTATGGAACATTCCCTTCTGTATATTCATGCAGCATTCCCTTCTGTATATTTATGCAACATTCCCTTCTGTAAATTTATGCAACATTCCATTCTGTATATTAATGCAACATTATCTTCTGTATATTTATGCAACATTCCCTTCTTAATATTTATGCAACATTCCCTTCTGTATATTTATGCAACATTCCCTTCTGTATATTTATGCAACATTCCATTCTGTATATTTATGCAACATTCCCTTCTGTATATTTATGCAACTTTCCATTCTGTATTTTTATGCAACATTCCCTTCTGTATATTTATGCGACATTCCCTTCTGTATATTTATGTGACATTCCCTTCTGTATATTTATGCAACATTCCCTTCTGTATATTTATGCAACATTTCCTTCTGTATATTTATGCAACATTCCCTTCTGTATATTTATGCAACATTCCCTTCTGTATATTTATGCAACATTCCCTTCTGTATATTTATGCAACTTTCCCTTCTGTATATTTATGCAACATTCCCTTCTGTATATTTATGCAACTTTCCCTTCTGTATATTTCTGCAACATTCCCTTCTGTATATTTCTTCAATATCCCTGGGGAGGGTGGGGGGGGGGGGGGGGGGGTGTGGGGGTCCAGGACCCTGTTTTGGCGTACAAAGAAAATACCCACTGCTTTCTAAACAAACATGTAGTAAAAGAATTTGTTGAAATCAGATTTTTGGGGCAGAAAGGGGCAAATAGTTAGTCCGCAGATTTTCCTCATCGCGCACCGAACCATTCTGTCCATAAATGCCCTCCTCAGTAAATGTCGCGGCATGTAGCGTCTGATGACACCCCTTCTGTGCTGGTTTCTTATTCTTCTTTGGCTTCCTGCATCGTGCTCTTGTCTGGCCACACCCCCTTTCAACACATTGTTCTTGCCATCTGGTCATGGTTGCAGATTCACAGTCTCTTGGTTCTCACAAACATCCTATATCTCAGAGATCATTCATGACATCAGCCTGGTTCATGGCTGGTCTGCCCTTCACAGTTGCCTTACCTGCAAGCCTTACAGCTTCCTCTGTTCCTTGCATGCCTGAAGCCCTGGCATGAAAATGAAAGTGATCTTTGTCAGACCCGCCCGTCTTAGAGACACCAATCATGACTTTGAATTGAGTGCATCTCTGTCTTCCTGAGCATGCTCATTAAGGTTTGGAAATTGCAGATTAGCTGTAAACCACAGCACAACATGTCAGTTGCCCTTTTAAGGGAGATGCAAAAGAAGAAGAAGAAGAAGTAACTGACTAACCAGTTGAAGAGGACCATTTTTACGTATTCATCATTTTGTACATCTTAAGCCATCACCTGAATGTCTTAAATCTCTTCAGAACATTACAGATGAAGCTATTGAAACAATCGGTCAAAGGTGCCCACATCTGTCCTTGCTGTGTGCATCCATGTGCACTCGCCTTACCGATGCCAGCCTTGTAGCATTAGGTCATGGATGCCCAGAACTGAAGTAGGTCCTCTTGATCCTGATGTTTGTCCTCTTTGTTCTCATTTTAAGTTTGTTTGATTTATCATCATCATTATTATTATTGACCTTCCCCATGTGGGTTGCTGGGCCCCATTGTGGGGAAAACAAGAACAGACCCCCCCCCCCCCCCCCCCCCCCCCCCCCCCCCCCCCCCCCCCACCCAACAAGCATGTTGTAAGGGTCGACTAATTAGGGGTTTTCTCTTAAGTCAGAGTACATCTGCCTGAGATGCAAGAGACCACTAATCTTCATACAACTAAGTCAGACCTGTAAAACAGATGTCCACCTATCACTCAGAGGTGGATGATCAACCAAAACTTTCTGCCAGAGTTTACAGCCGGTGAACACAAAGAAGAAGAAGAGAATTATTGACCTGTTGTGGCATTATATTTCACATAGAGGTCACAGTCTATTCCTCCATTGCATTGTATTATGTCCAGTCATTTCAGCATCATGAATGGGATCCAGGCCAGCAGCTTTGGTCTCCCTCATCAGCATTTTCCCTCATCGTTGAAAGAAGATGTGACAGTGAACTCCCACTGGGTACGTTGAGCGTGGAGACTCTGAGATGGCTACTGTCTCAGAGGACGGAGCATGGATGATTCGGACAGATGTGCTAGGACAGTGGTTCTTAACCTTCCCAATGCCACGACCCTTAAATACAGTTCCTCATGTTCTGGTGACCCTCCGACAATACAATCTTTTTTGTTACTTCATAACCTCAATAATTATGTGTTTTCAGATGGTCTTAGGAGACCCTTGTAAAAAGGCCTTTTGACCCACAAAAGGGTCATGGCTCGTAGGTTGAGAACCGCTGTGTTAGGATGACGATACGGGCAAGAGGTATCAAGTAACGTTCATGTTGGGATTTCTTGTGGGCATCCTTGCTTCTTCAGTCCTTGTATTTCCCATTTTAGTACCTGTTTTACAATTCTCTGCTCCTTTCTTCTCAGATTGGTCCAATATAGTTTGTTTTTTTATACCAGTGGCTGCCCAGACATTTCTCTGATTTCTTCACCCCTCCTGAATTCATCCCTTTTTATGTTCATCATTTTCCTCAGGCATTTGTTTTTCAGTGTATTTAACTTTGGTTCCTTGTCTCTAGTGGTTCTGAACTTTCACTGGCATAAGTTCAAATAACTTTAGAATTGAAAATATATAACTTGGTTTTAAAATATATACAGTTTCTCATCTCCTCATCCCGTAATTCTGCATGTCGTTGGTCAACAGTTTCTGTTGACTGTCTGATCAGCTCTCTCCACCTTTGGCGGTCAATTGCGATGGACTTCATGTTTGCATGCCTGAGGCCTGTCCAGTCAGTCAGGTTCTGTAACCAGGTCTTTCTTGGTCTGCCTCTTGTCCTCTTTCCCTCGACTGAGCTCTTCATGTTGGAGAGAGGAGACAGCCCTGCCGGACTCCTACTGTTGTTTGGGACCAGCTTCCTATTTGTCTGTTCAGCATGACAACACTGTTAGTCCAGGCATTGAAACCCTGATGTTTGATATATGATGTAGGGTAAAAGATAATAACCTCACCGTCAGTAGCGGCCATATCCAAATGGATAGTCCAGGATCCTGCTTGGCTCCCATCTCTTTACCTAACTTATGTATAGCTTTATGAATCCACTTGTGTGTTGTGTATAGCAGTATCCACATCATGGGGCATCCTCTTTACCTAACTCATGTATAGCTTTATGAATCCACTTGTGTGTTGTGTATAGCAGTATCCACATCATGGGCAACCTCTTTACCTAACTCATGTATAGCTATATGAATCCACTTGTGTGTTGTGTATAGCGGTATCCACATCATGGGCAACCTCTTTACCTAACTCATGTATAGCTATATGAATCCACTTGTGTGTTGTGTATAGCAGTGTCCACATCATGGGGCATCCTCTTTACCTAACTCATGTAAAGCTATATGAATCCACTTGTGTGTTGTGTATAGCAGTGTCCACATCATGGGCAACAGTCTTGGCTGACTGGCTAAGCTATCTGGATGGAACTCTGTGGTGATGTGATTAAGTCGTTTCCCTCTTGCTCTGATGGTTGTAGGTTTGTTTTATATTGCGTCATTCGGTTCACAGGTTAATGTTGGGCCCAGAGAGTAATAATAATCATCATCATCATGTTTGCAGAAAATGGCTGCCTTTAATGCTAATCAAAAAGACAATTGGCTCTTTGCCAGTTCCTCTGCCACATATATTTTCATGCTGACTGTGTCCGCACGTACTTGTTGACCCCTGCTTCTTCATTGACTCCTGCTTCTTCTTCTTCTTCTTTTTCCTACTCACCAGCTGTAAACCCTGGCAAATAGTTGTGGCTGTTCTCCCACTTCTGGGCTTATTGAAAAACTTGAGTTTTGCACGAACATTTGTTTTACAGATCAGGTTTATTTCTATGCAGACTGTTGGTATCTCACATTTCAGGTAGATACACTTCAATTTCAAAGGAAACACTTTTAATTAGTTGATACGCTAATCTTGGAAAAGGGGGGGGGGGGGGAGGGCAGCAGTCTGTTCTTTTCCCCCCACATGGGCCTCTTCTTCCATTTCTGTTCTTTCTAAATCACACCAAAAAAAAACATCATAGAAACAACATAAAGTAAATGTCAGCTTTAAAGAATCATTTACAATAAATAAATAAAGGGTGTTGCAGTAGTTAGCCTTCAACAGCAGAATGACAGCGAGGAACAAAACACAACACAAAAATCAACTGACTTTAAAATAACTAAATTATGGTAATAGAACAAATATCTAAAAAAAATAATGATAAAAACGAGAGAATGATATAAAGTATTGGATACTTCTCTGAATTACCTTAGAAGACTGCATGAGTACTGCCAAAGATGGAAACTCAAGGTTAACTATACAAAGACGGTCTACACAATCTTTACCAAAAGCCATCAGGTAGCAAGGAAGAATATTAACCTGAGGTTAGACAAACACCAAGTGATGAAAGAAGAGCATCCTACAAACCTTTGAGTCACACTTGACTGGCAGCTCAAACTCAAGAACCATATTGAAAACGTCAGGAATAAGGCATTGAGACGGTTACAGTTATTAAAGAGACTTGCAGGTACATCATGGGGATCAGACAAGGAAACTCTGAGGGGCTTATATCTATACAAATCGGTTTTACACTGTGTTCATGAAATTCAGGACAGATACCACCTCCCAGAAAGACATCAAGGAATTCAGAATGCTGCAAGAAACCTACCACAACATGCTTGCTTTAAAGCTCCAGAAGTCCAAATTAAATTGGTAGGTAAGGAAACCAGTCTGACCCAATCGCTCTTATGAACTCATCACTAAAGACCGTTGATTCTTACCCCGAAGAATGGATACATGTTTATACTGATGGATCTGCATTTAAAGCTACCATTAAAGCAGGTTACGGAATCTACATAGGTTATCCCGATGGATCTGTTAAAGAGATTTTTGATGCATGCGGGCAATTCTGCTCAAATTATGAAGCCGAAATAATTGCACTGGAAACAGCTGTAAAGACTGTAATGGATGTTTACCCTTTAAAGGCCCAAAATATTGTCATCTTCACAGATTCAATGTCTGCCCTTCAAACTCTGGAGGGCAGTGAACGCTGCAGAACTGACATAGCCAAGATAATCCTGGATGCTGATTACCTCATACAACATCAGAATAGTGATGCAGTGGATTCCAGGCCACTCCGGCACACCAGGTAATGACAGAGCTGACAGACTGGCAAAGAAAGGAGCAACACAAGAACAACCACCTACAGCGACAACCCTACAGACAGCAAAAAAACTTATAAGAGCTATAAACAAAGAGACGATTGAACAGATGGACCATGGGAGACACTGGAAGAGAGGTTTATAGACATATAGCTGGCCCTGATCCTAATGACAGCATTAACCGTCTAACAAGAAGGGACCAGGCCACTATCTGCATACTTAAAACACAACATACTCCACTCAGTGGACATCTAAACAGAATACAGCCACAACACTCCCCAGAGTGACGGCTATGTAACTACCCCTACGAAACTGTTGAACACCATCTCTTTGAGTGCCCAAAACTCAGCAAGACTAGAAGAATGCTACTCCCTCCGAGACCAGACAAGTGGAACACCTTGTACGGAGGAAAAGAACAGCTTGTGAAAACATGGAAATTCCACTACATGGCATTGGGCCGAAGGAAAGCTCATGCGCTGCTGGATTGATAACAGCAACAACAAGAACCTGAATCCCTGCAAATGTTTTAAAGAGTTTTTTTAAAAGAGTTTTAAAAGTGTTGCATACTTTATATCATTTTGTTGTTAATTATTATCATTTTTGTAATATATTTTTTGTGGCTACCATATGAGTCGCAGTGGGGGTAGCGGCTAGACGCTCACATGCGGATCGGATGGCCGTAGGTTTGCTGCCTGGCGGAGCTGGGCTTATATTAAAAAAGACCTTGGCTCCCAAGTCAACCTAGCCTTGAGTTGGTACCGGGTGCAGTCACAGGAAGTAGAGGCGGCCGGCGTGATGCTGACCACATCACCCATCTTGTGCCGATTAGTTTATACAAAAATAGGTTTAGCTCTATATGCCCTATATGCCTAAAGGCACGGTAAAGGGACCTTTACTTTACTTTACTTACCATAATATATACAATTTTAGAATCAGTTCCTTCTTGTGTTTTGTTTCTTGTGATTTTACTGAGAAAGGCTAATTGTTGTGCTTTCAAGCCCAACATCTCCAGTTTGTGCAAATTCTTAATTAGTTGGCCTTCATGACTTGCTTGTTAAGTAGCAGGGGGCTATCTTGTTTTCCACAGAACATTAGAAGTTTCCGGTTGTGCTGCTCTAACTGACAGTGGCTTTCAAGCACTCACAAGGGTAAGTCTTTGTGGCTTGCAATCCTTGTTCCCCGTGTGAGTTCTGAGACCCTGTTGTGGGGAAACCAAGAATAGACCCACTGCCTGCCCAGCAAGCATGTCATAGAAGTTGATTAATTGGGAGCTTCCTTCAAAGTCGGAGTGCATCTGCCAGAGTGGCACACAAATAAGCCAGTAAAATGGATGTACAGGCAAAACTCAGGGACTGACACAAAGCCGAAGTCCAAATGGACGAACAGCCAGGACTTTCCACTGAAGCTTACAACCAGTGAATGTTGAATTAAGAATCAACATCACAGCAGTTGGGACACTCCCATAAAAGCTCCGTCCTTCATCTTCAGCAGCAAGGGAAGAGTTCCAATTCCGATGGCACCAGTAGCCGTCTGATTGTATATCCATTTCATTCTTCCCCTGAGTTTTGAGTGTCGCCCAGATCCCCTGGTAACTCCTCACAGCGCTATTCATCTCAGACCATAATGATCTATCTGCGTCTCCTCACTGTTCACTCACTCCATCACAATATCTAGCTTGTCATACATCAATTCACCACCAAGTGATGCAGAGCCAGCCAATCTATCTGCCTACTCATTTCCCAACACACCACTCATTTCCCAACACACCAGCATGACCTGAAGAAAATATCAAAAGGATGCTAACTACCCAGGACCTCTGAAGTGAAAATCAGTTAAGAGAAGAAGAAGATCATTCTTATAAATTATGCTGTTATCTCAGTGTAAATCATCATCATATTCATCAAGGGTCCTGCTCAGCGGCATAGATGCTCATGTCTCTCCACAGATCTCGGTCCATTTTGTTTTTTTGGGTGTTTTTAATTATTTTAAAAAATCAGTTCCACTAAGGATATTCCACCATGCCATCGCTTCAGCCATCAAGTAACGTTTCTCTTGGTTTGCCTCTGCCTCTACTACCTTTGATCTTTGCGGTCATCAAGATGTTCTCTAGTGCATCTCTTCACATCACATGACCAAAGGACACTGACCACCGCTTTCTTATAGTTGTATTATAGTTTTCTAATTTCATTAGCCATGTCTAGACACTTGATAGTCTCATGTTAATACCATATGAAAATGAGTTTAGGAAAGATACAATGGTGATAGGTGAATGGTGCTGCCATGGACCCTTACTATAATCAATGAGCACAAAATCAGAACGGCACAGATCAGATGTCCTAAAAGAGCTGCCAAGGTAACAAGGAAGATTTTTTTTAAAAATGATGAAAGAGCAAAAGAGGAGATGGTTTGGCCATCTGACGATGATGCCCTGCTGCCAACTGCAACAGAGCCACCTGAAGAAAATATTTACCACACAGAATATTTAACGAGGGCATCAAGAATACATGAAAGAAATGAAGACCAGCTTATACAGTGCATTGGAAAGTGTAAGACATTGTTTTTGCATAATGCTGTAGGTGTTTCTGTCTGTAATTATTTTGTGTGTAATGTTGTGGTCTTTCTGTCTGCAGAACTGTCATGATTTAGAGAAGATGGATCTTGAAGATTGTATACAGGTGACCATTTTGTGTCTTATGATATTATCTCTCTTTCTGCGTGTGTGCGTGCGTGTCTCTCTCTCTCTCTGTCTGTCTCTCTCTGTGTCTCTCTCTGTGTGTCTCTGTCTCTCTCTTTGTCTCTCTGTCTCTCTCTGTCTCTCTCTCTCTCTGCATGTGTGTGTGCATGTCTCTCTCTCTCTCTCTTTGTGTCTGTCTCTGTCTGTCTGCCTCTCTCTCACACCCACACTCTTTCACACGCATGCGTTTTCTCTCTCTGAGCAAGACATTTATTTGAACTATTTCATTGTGAATCAGTGATGAGTGAACGGCTTCTCTCTTGAGTCCCAACCATACAACCTTGTGTTCTCTGACTTTACATTTGGCTTCTAGTTTCTATACTGGTGACTTCTGCTGAATATTACCTCTTTGAAACAAATGCTTCCATTTTTTTTAAAACGCTTGTTATTGGGGTACCAAGGAAGCCATGGCAGCGCTGTGGCTAGACCAGTGGTTTTCAGCCTGGTAGCGCAAGGAAGTTTCAAGAAGTGTATTTTAGGGTTGAAGCATTTTGAAACTGAATGCACCCATCATTCCCTGATAAGGATGTTTGTAAGAGGTGACTAATTTTAGCCTGTAGTCAGAGTGCATCTGCCTGAGAAGTAAGGAACCAGAAATCAGCATAGACTTGGGCCAGATCTGTAAAATCAATGTGCATGCACACAAAAAAAGTCCAGAAGTGGATCAACAACCAGAACATTCTGCTGGAGTTTACTGCTGGTGAACGCTAAGAAGGAGAAGAAGAAAGAGTTGAAATGGTTGCTCCCTGAAGCAAAAAGCGTCAGTGTTGGACAGGCTCTCTTGTTACTGATGAAGGTGTTTTACTTTTGTTATGTTTTCAGATCACTGATGCAACACTAGGACATATTGCAGCAAACTGTCATAATTTGAATGCCCTGGCAAGTTGCTGTTTGTTATCGTTGCTACAGGAGTTAACATTGCTCTAAAATATTTTCAGATGGTTTTATTAGTCATCAGTAGGGAAAATTCCTCTAAAAATATATTTTGGAATGCTTTTATTAGTCATCATTAGGCAAATTAGCATTGTGGTAAAATATATTAAGATTTTATGTTAGTCATTATTGGGGAAGTTATCATTGCTGTCAGAATGTATTTAGATGGTATTAGTCATTATTGGGGAAGTTAACATTGCTGTCAAAATGTATTTAGATGGTATACGTCATTATTGGGGAAGTTAACATTGCTGTAAATAATCTTTGAAGATGGTTTTTTTAGTCATCATTTAGGGCTGTTAAAATTGTAAAAATGTGTTTAGATGTCTTTGTTAGTCATCATTAGGGAAGTTAATATTTCTTTGAAAACAATTTCTTTGAAAATGGTTTTAATAATCATTAGGAAAGTTAACATTGCTGTAACAAAAATTTCAGATACTCTTATTAGTCATCTTGAAAGAAGTTCACCCTTTGTAACATGTTATAACAATGCATTGAATTGCAAAGAAGTATATATATTTTACTTTTGTGGACTTTTGAGAAAGCTTTTGACAGCGTCCATAGAGACAGTCTCTGGAAAATATTACGACAATATGGAATCCAAGAAAAGATAGTCAACATAATATAGCACTCCTATCACATCTCATGATAAATATGAACATATACAAGAGAAAAGCAACAGACTTTACAAATGGTGAAACTATGGGGGTGGCTGCAGTCAAGCTAATACAAGGAATTCCAGAGAAATTTGACTAAAAAGCTCAACAAAATGGGGAAGCAGAAGAACGTGCACAAAACAACACAACGTAACGTTTCGGCTGGGCAGCCTTTTTTAAACATAAGTGAAATACACAAACGAGGAATGGAGAGTATGTAGATCTCTAAGGGGTGACGTGAGCGACGTTTAAAAGAATGTGATGCGGAATAAGTGAAATAAAATAAATGATGGCTTAAAAATATAGTCACAAAACTGGGAATAAAAGAAATGCAAGTGTAAATTATACATAAATGATGCTGATAAGAAATAGAATAAAGTAATAATATGAAATAAAATAAAATAATTAACATTTAAAATGTCTGAGTGTCTTCTTGTCGATATCGGACACGTGTTCCCGGAAACGATCAGCTAGCTTCCTGCCAGTCTCCCCAATGTATGCCTTTCTGCATCGTTTGCACCTCTCTGATTTCGACAAGAAGACACTCAAACCAATCCCTCTTCATTTTAATAGCCCTGACCACAGCGGTAAAGATGACATATCTGTCACAGCATTAAAATCTTGTTCTGGCGATCATACTACCCGACTCGCTTTGAAAAATCGCCTTATCCACAGCCTTGCCGTTCTTAGTCCAAGTGGTATCAATATCCAACATACCTTCATCTAAATTGTTCTAATCTTATCACATTTTAAATGCTAATTATTTTATTTTATTTCATATTATTACTTTATTCTATTTCTTATCAGCATCATTTATGTATCATTAACACTTGTATTTCTTTTATTCCCAGTTTTGTGACTATATTTTTTAGCCATCGTTTATTTTATTTTATTTCACTTTTTCCGCATCACATTTTTTTAAACGTCGCTCACGTCACCCCTTAGAGATCTACACACTCTCCATTCCTCGTTTGTGTATTTCACTTATGTTTGAAAAAGGCTGCCGGGCCGAAACGTTACGTTGTGTTGTTTTGTGCACGCTTTCCTCTTTCACATTTTGTTGAGCTTTTTAGTCAAATTTCTCTGGAATTCTAACAGACTTTACAGCACTGCAGAAATGGTGGGACTGAAAATAAGGAAAATACAAGGAAAACTAAGATCATGACAAACAGTCCAAACCAACAACCAGTGACCATAAATAACACTTGAAAATGTAGAATATTTCACATATCTTGGCAGTGTGGTGTCCCTACTGGGAGGGACAAAGGGAGACATACAATCACACCTGAACAAAGCTAGAGTTGCTTTTGGAAGGATGTGCAAATCTGGAAATCCAACAGTTACTGCAGAGGAACAAAACTCTGACTCTACAAGAGCATTTTCTTTCCAGTTTTTCTTTATGGAGCAGAATGCTGAAGAATGACCAAAAAAAGATGCACACAAGCTGTCCACCTTCCGCCACACATGTCCTTACAGAATTATCAAAATTTTCTGGCCAGATACAATCTCAAACACTAAACTACTTTAAGTCACAAACCAAAAAACTCTAGACAGTATGATAACAAAGAGAAGATGTAAATGGCTTCATCACATTATGACAATGAATCGTGAAACACCTGCCAAAAAAGCTCTCACTTGGACACCAGAGGGAAAGAGAAAGAAGGGGCCCCCAAAAACAACATGGAGACGAACGATGGAAAGTGAGCTGAGTGCGGCATCTTTGGAAAACTGCACTGAAAATTACACAGGACAGGAAAGCATGGAAAGTCCTCTCTGAAGCCTCATGTGCCACTAGGCATATAATGAACTGATGATTGATTGATTAGAGAAGATAAAATTTTTGTAAAATTGTATTGAGAAGATCTAATACTTATAATAAATACTGATTTAACTTTTCTTCTCATAGTCCCTGTCACATTGTGAGCTGATCACAGATGAAGGGATACGCCAGATTGGCTCCAGCTTGTGTGCCGCCGAGCATCTGCAGATTTTAGAGCTGGACAACTGCCCACTTATCACCGATGCTGCCTTGGAACATCTGATGGCCTGTCAGTCCCTGCAGAGGATTGAAATATATGATTGTCAGCTGATCACCAGAGCTGGCATACGGAAGTTGAAGGTAAGTTATGATGAGCTGGTAGAATGTTAGTTAGTGTCAACAGATTATCCTCGTTGCACATCGAACCGTTTAGTCCATAAGTGCTTGGATCCCCTCCTTAGTAAATCCCACAGTGTGGAGGAGCTCACGACACCAGACCTGTGTTGGTTTCTTATTCTTCTTTGGCTTCCTGCATAGTGGTCTCGTCTGACCACTCTCATCTTAACATGTTGTTCTTGCAGTCTGGTCAAGGTTGCAAATTCACAGTCATCACTTGGTTCTTGCAAACGTCTTACTTCTCATAGAGCATTCAGTAAATCAGCTTGGTCCATGGTTCATCTGCCCTAAACAGTAGCTTTACCTCCAAGTCGATCAGCTTGCTCATTTCCTTGTGCGCCCGCGAGCCCTGGAACAAATATGAAACTGATACGTGTCAGCCCTGACCGCATTAGAGACTCCAATCCCTGTCTTCAGATCCAGCCCTTCTCTATTTTTCTGAGCCTACTCATTGACTCACTGAGAAAGCATGCGCGGGAAGTTGGCAGTATGTTGGGAGAATGTTTAGGGTAATTCCTTTTTCCTTCTCCTTAGCGTTCACCGGCTGTAAACTCCAGCTGCAAGTTTTTGAGTGTTTATCTGCTCTTGAACTTTGGTCTTGATTCAGAACTTGCACATCCGCTTTACAGATTTGGCTTGTTTGTATGCAGACTTTTGGTTCATGCAGATGCACTTCCACTTTGAAGGTAACACCCATAAACTACCTGTAAAGATTTTCTAAATGTGTCAGAAGGAGGGTTCAGGCAGGTTCGGTGCAAAGACAATGGCTTGAATCTTTACAGAAGTCCACTGTGCGTGTAGTTACCTTTATTTTTGTTCCGGGATACGCAGGCATAGATGGAAATGAAAGAGCCGATAGGTTTGCTGGATCCACTATCACTACCTATGATCAGCCTATGGTTCATGCTGATATTATTAATGCCCTCAGAGAAATGGGAAGGATGGAGAACTTTGGGGGCAGTGAATCCACATTACTCGCCAGAATGGCAGACTTGGGAATTAAGATCGGCATAGCAAAAAACGAGACACACGCCAGACACACCAGAAGACTTGTTAATCAACATAGAACTGGTACTATTAACCATCGGATGTTGGGGTTCATACTGAGAGGAGGATCTGAGCACCTATGGACATGTCCGGAGTACAATGAGTTTTTTGCTATGCCGATCTTAATTCCAAAGTCTGCCATTCTGGCGATAACCCAACTAACTAACTAACTAACTAACTAACTAACTAACTAACCCATAATTAGTCGCATCCTATGAAAAGCTTCTTGGGAACCCGTGGATCTGTTCTTTGTTCTCCATAATGGAGCCTCGGAAACCACACAGGGATAAGGTAATTTAACTCTTTGAGTCCCAGGGGGTTTAGCATCACAGGCCCATGGGGTAGTCAAGAGAAATGTAAAATTGGCGAAATCTTGCTTTCATTGGGCTTCTATGAACGTATGATGTGTTCCTTGGGACTCAAAGAGTTAAGAGCATCATCATTTAGTGTCTTACCAGCTGGCGTAGGCGCTATTGCATCTGCACAGATTTTGATTTTTGGTCTTCTGGATCAAAGATATTCCTCCATGCCACTGTCTTCAGCCATCCACCATAATTTCATTTGCCTGAATGAAACTCGGTATCTCTCCAGCTCTCTCGCCTCATGCACTTTCCCCACTTTGTTTACTTCCTCACTTGAGGTATCATTTATATCCTGTGCCCATTTTCTTGTTGGTCGACCCCTGCCCCTCTTTGCCGTCTGTTATTGTGTTTTCCAGTCTACCATGGTGCTTGAAAAGGCCACACAATTGTAGTTCAGTAGCTAATCTTCCTTGATGTTCAGATCTTTTAGGATATCAGTTCTTCTTTGTCCATGGTATTCTGAGAATATTTTTATTGCATTTCAGCTCAAAAGTCCCTATTTTCTTTCTTAAGGATTGAGAGATAGTCCTTGACTCACCTCCATATGTTACTATAGGAAAGATGCTTGCTCTCAAGATGTTGACTTTTTTCTTCTTCTTGGCATTCACTGGCTGTAGACTCTGACGGAGAGTTCTGGATGTTCATCCACCTCCAGACATTTCTCTTGTTCCAGATCTTGAGTGTTGCGTGCACATCCCTTTCACAGATCTAGCCTATTTGCATGCTGACTCTTGGTTCCTAGCCTCTCAGGCAGATGTACAGCCCAGTTAGTCAACTCCTACGACTTGCTTGTTGCGAAAGCAGTGGGTCTATTCTTGTTTTTTTCCCACAATGGGGTCCTTAGACCCCACAAGGGAATAATGTTGTTTTGATTTACTTGCTGATGTGTAACCATAGACTTGTAATGCTGTTTACTTTCAGAGCCAGCTGCCAGACATTTTAGTCCATGCTTACTTTGCAACTGTGACTCCACCGCCTTCAGTGGGGGGTGGTCGGCAGAGGTTCTGCAAGTGTTGTATTATTTTATAGCCAGCATTTCCAGCTAACTTTTTTAAGGTCAGTATTATTGGTTTAACTTAAAACGTCTTGTTTTTCTTCTCCTCCTTTCTCTTTTCCCTCATTTCCTTCTCATCCTTTTCCTTCTTCTTATCTTTTCTTCTTCTCTTTTTTTTCCCTCTGCCTCAGCCTTCTTCTACAGACTCTGAAAGCTTGCTGAGAAAAGTGAAGACAGGGATGCTTCGAGCAGAGTGGCAACCTTCACTGAGAAGGTCATGGGTAGTGAGCATACTTTGGATCTTTTCTCCAGGCTATGCCAGCGTAGTGGGTAATGAACAGGCAGACAGATTGGCTGGATCTGCACCATCTTGGTGGTGAATTGATACATGACAAGGCAGATGTGGTCAAGGCCCTTTGGGAACAAGCAACGGAATCAGTAGAGAAAGAAGATTATTATGGCCTAGAGAGAATGAGGCACCTGGGTGTAACCAGAGGGTCTGGCCGGCTCACTACACTCAGAGGAAAAGGCAAGACAGACATATAACCAGATTGTGACCAGTACCATCAGTATTGGAACTCTGCTCCGGCTGCTGAAGATGAGGGCGGTGCACACATGGGAATGCCCTGAGTGCTGTGATTTCAAATCTTGAGTCAGCTCAACTCAACTCAGCCTTCTTCTTTTTGTTTTCCTTCCTCTTCTTTTTTATCCTCTTCCTCCTTTTTTCTTCTTCTTCTTTTACTTCTTTATCTTTGTCATCCTTTTTTTTCAGACCTTTATATTGATGTCACTAATAAAAGCAGAAGTAAATTCTGAGATCAGAACAAATTGCTTTCTGTAAAAACTAAAATGTTACGTTATCACAGTCGACATCTTTAAACATTGGGCATCCCCCTGTGAGCTCAGTCCTCCGATGCAGTATCCACTCAGAGGTAGCTCTACTGATTGTTCTCATTAGGAGTTGGTTATAATATCTCCTGTCTTTACCTCAAAGACAGTATAGACGTGCTTCACCAAGTTTAACTCCTCGGTCACGCAGTCGTGTTAGCGTCAGAGATTCGGATTTATCCCCCAACCTAGTCCGTGCAGCGTTATCAATTCTTTCCATGCTTCTTCCCATTTGCTTTGGTGCATTACTTGCCAGCTGGTCAGCTCTTTCATTACCATTTACTCCTGCATGCCCAGGTGTGTACATCCAGATGATGGAGGTTAACTTCGACTTTTGATTGGATGCTTTCTTCCCATTCAAAACGCAAACTACCTTTAACGATTTTCTAAATGTGTCAGAAATGATTAACACATGTGTGGCCACTTGTTATGCTTCCTATGTGAGTGCCCTGGAAGCAGAAATTACTCCATGGTTACTGAAATGTATTGCTGTTTAGCAGATGTGACCTGTATGTTACCTGGCTCTGTAAAGGAAGCAAAGAATAGTAACACTGTTACCTGGCTCTGTAAAGGAAGCAAAGAATAGTAACAATGTTACCTGGCTCTGTAAAGGAAATAAAGAATAGTAACACTGTTACCTGGCTGTGTAAGGGAAGCAAAGAATAGTAACAATGTTACCTGGCCCTGTATGGGAAGCAAAGAATAGTAACAGTGTTACCTGGCTCTGTAAGGGAAGCAAAGAATAGTAACAATGTTACCTGGCTCTGTAAGGGAAGCAAAGAATAGTAACAATGTTACCTGGCTCTGTAAGGGAAGCAAAGAATAGTAACAGTGTTACCTGGCTCTGTAAGGAAGCTAAGAATAGTAGCACTGTTACCTGGCTCTGTAAAGGAAGCAAAGAATAGTATTAATGTTACCTGGCTCTGTAAGGGAAGCAAAGAATAGTAAGACTGTTACCTGGCTCTGTATGGGAAGCAAAGAATAGTAGCATTGTTACCTGGCTCTGTAAAGGAAGCAAAGAATAGTATTAATGTTACCTGGCTCTGTAAGGGAAGCAAAGAATAGTAACACTGTTACCTAGCTCAGTATGGGAAGCAAAGAATATTAACAGTGTTTCCTAGCATGCATGTTCTCAGAGACGGCAAAAAAGGGTTGGTATGAGCATTTTTTTTTTTTTTATTGACAAGAGCAGCACAAGACCAACAACTTTTTTGATTTTAACCAAATTGGAATTTATTCAGAACCGACCCAGGGGCTAAAATACTTAATGTTGATAATAATGGAGTGATTAGTGCTGAGAGTTATTAATGCTGATTGTGTGATTTTGATGATTGAGGGATTAATGTTGATAGAGTGATTACATTTTTGTAAAGAATAAGTTAAAATTGTAATTAAAATAGCTGTGTTTTTTCTCTCTCTAAAAGGAGAGGTGATAAATGGGAGCTCTTCTATTTCAAGGGAACACTTGTGTGTGATCTGATGTCCGCTCATGTTTTCAAGTACCGTGATTCAGCAGTTTTGATTGGGACAAAATTTGTGATGCCATTTTATCTGTAAATATGTTTGTGTGCATGCATGGGTTGGTGGATGGGGAAGTTGATTTACAAGAGAATGAATGAATGGACTTTATTTTAAAAGAGTTGATAATTTTGAATGCAGATCCATCTTACACTCCAACCTTGCTCCTTATAGACATTATTCCATTCACACATCATTAAACAGATTATAAACATCAACAAATCTAAGTCTTAATTACAAACACTGGATATGCTGTAATTGTACCATTATACCTACATTTTAATACTTGTATATCTCTTAGTCTAGTAATTGTAGTAAATCTAGGGGAAATATACAATACACTTACACTACTATTATTTATTTAACCCTTTCACCCCGGCAAGCTGAAAAACCCTCACTTTTGGCTAGGTCTAATTCCCGCTAAATATCACTTTTTTTTTTTTGGGTACTTGTCCATAGTGATCAGTTTATGAAACACATAGTTAATGCTACTGGCTGCATTTGCACCTGCCCAAATGTTTAGGAGGTCAGGATATGAATACATTAACTAAAAGTATCATTTAGGTGGATTTTCCTTTGAACTAAAGGGCTCCCTTAAAGCCAAGTTGACATCAGATTTTCTCATTAACCTCATTGATGGAGGTCATGCCATAAGTGTGATTTTTAGGCAACAGGGGATTTATTCCATTTAATTATTAACCCTGTTCCTATTTATTGATTTCTTCTTTCTTATATCTTTAAATATTTTTTTGGGAAGCATTAAAAATATAGGTAAAAACATTTTTCACTCATGAATTAGTGACCTGTGTAATATTTTTTTTAAAGGATTTTTTTCTGGAAACCCTGTGAGATTTATGACCCATTTTTGTGTGTGTGTATTCATGGTCAGTCTTCAAGCTTGCTGAAAGAATTGTCTGGTGTTATACGTTTTTTCCATGTGATCATCCACGTTTGTACATATGTCATATAGACTGCTTTTTTATTTTCAATGATTAATTCATTTATTGTAATATAATTGATTATATGTTTTTATAAAATAGTTGATAATATGGTTGTTGTAATAGAGCATTGTATAGTATTCTTGCTGCTTTGAAAACAGGGACTTTCTTCTGCTCAATTATGATTTTATGACGTATGCGTGCTTTTTGCCTGCTTGTGTTCAATCTGGTCTCTAGACTGTTTGATAATATGTGTAGCTCTTTTTCTTCTTCTTTGTTGTCTTCGTCATTCTTATGAACTATGTATGAAAGGAGGAAGATTAGATGACCAGAATGAAATCATGTATGAAAGGAGGAAGATTAGATGACCAGAATGAAATCATGTATGGAAGGAGGAAGATTAGATGACCAGAATGAAATCATGTATGAAAGGAGGAAGATTAGATGACCAGAATGAAATCATGTATGGAAGGAGGAAGATTAGATGACCAGAATGAAATCATGTATGAAAGGAGGAAGATTAGATGACCAGAATGAAATCATGTATGGAAGGAGGAAGATTAGATGACCAGAATGAAATCATGTATGAAAGGAGGAAGATTAGATGACCAGAATGAAATCATGTATGAAAGGAGGAAGATGAGATGACCAGAATGAAATCATGTATGAAAGGAGGAAGATTAGATGACCAGAATGAAATCATGTATGAAAGGAGGAAGATTAGATGACCAGAATGAAATCGTGTATGAAAGGAGGAAGATTAGATGACCAGAATGAAATCATGTATGGAAGGAGGAAGATTAGATGACCAGAATGTTAGGTGGGCCTGCATGGCCAGTTCTCAGCCCTTTGAAAATAAAGTCTGTTTGTTTGTTCGTTCTTCTTCTTCCTGATGCTACTGCTTCTACTCTTCCTCCTTTTTCGTTCTCTTCTTCTTCTTCTTTTCTTCTATTTGATTCAAGTAGGTTTAGAGACAGTTACAAATTAATCCATTGATATCTATTTGATTCTGTTAGCCCCATAGAGACAGCTTTCTCACAAGTAAATCTTTTCTTTCTTGATCCAGTGGGAAGGAAGGGCTCACAGATAACTTATAAACTGTTTGATTCAGGTAACCACAGAAAAGGTATATATATATATATATATCAATCATCTCCACATTCCACATTTTTATAGTCTGTATTTGTTCAAAAGGAACTCATCAGATCTTATCCTTCTCACCCAGGTGTCATTAAAGTGTGGTTTCTGTCTGTGCCACATTTTTTTTGTTTGTGTGGGACTAGATTATTTGCTATTTTAGACCTTGCCCGGTGTGCAATTTAAAAAAAATAGGTACCCTGTACTTTACCAGCACCTTTTACCTAAATAGCTCCCAGGATCTTACTGGTACCCAGTACTTCACCATAACCCAATACCTTACAAGAACCCAGTGCCATACCAATAGCCAGTACTGTACCTGCAACAAATTCCTTACCAGAACCCAGAAACATACCAGTATCCAGTTCCTTACCAGAACCCAGTTTCTAACCAGAGCCCAGTACCTTACCTGAACCCAGTTCATAACAAGAACTCAATACCTTACCTGGACCCGGTACCTTGCAAGCACCCAGTACCTTAAAAGTTCCAGTACCTTACCTGCATTCAAAGTCTGATCACTACCTTGAACCTGACCGGATATCTTTCCTGTGACTCCCAGTACCTCTCTATGACTTTCCTGTAGCACCATAGTTGATGCATACAGTGTTCATTCCTGTGTTTGTTATTATCAAGTTATTACGGTGCTATTGCTGAGCTTTGCTTGTCAGTATTATGTTTCACATTTTGATTTATATTCCATTACTGTATACCCCCCTTTTTTTTCACTTGCTGCTGAAGATTGAAGGAGCACTAATGGAAATGTCTCTAGTGCTGTGGTGTTTGTTCTTAGCTCTTGACTTCCCTACTGTATGCTTGTTCTTTAATGTTATGTTTATTGTATTTTGTGTTGTTTCTTTGTATGGTTTTTTTAAAAATTTGTTTTATATTGATTGTTTGTGCTCTATTTCTGGGGCTGTGAATGCAGTTTCTTAATGCCGACATACTGGAGTTTGAAGTCAGCTGCAGCTGATTTGTTAGCAGACCACTTTGCAATGATTTTGGCATTGGGATGAGCATCATGTTGTTTAGAAATCAGTGGCAAACTACCGTACATAAAGTTGTTCATCAAAGCAATGCAGCAGGTACAAATAAACCAGATCTGTAAAACAAATGTAACCGCAAAACCCAGGTTCTAGAACCAGACCAAAGTCCAGAAGTGGACGAACAACCAGAACTTTCTGCTGGAGTTACAGCTGGTAAACGTGATGAAAAAACAGACCTCTGCTCCCTAACAAGTGTCGACTAAATAGATATTTTTCCTGTGAAGTCGGAGTGCATCTGCCTAAGGCGAGAAACTAACAGTCTGCATACAAATAAAACAGATCTATAAAATAGATGTGCGTGCAAACTCAGGTTCTGGAACAGTACTAAAATAAAGAAATGGATGAACAACCAGAAGATTCCGCTAGAGTTTACAAGAATACGCCTGCTGCGGCATTAGCATAATAAGAAACAAAAGAAAAAGAAGAAAGAAAAGGAGAAAAAAAGCATATGAAGTATTTTATGATGTGTGTGCTAGGGAAAGAACGGGTGGATAAATGTTTGTATTTAAAATTTGTTTATAAACCTATGTATGGAAATTGTCTTCTTCTTCATCGCTTTCACTGGCTATAAACTCTGTCGGAGAGTTCCGGATGCTTGTCCATTTCTGGACTTTGGTCTTGTTGCAGAACTTGGCTTACTTCTATGCAGACTGTTGGTTCCTGGCATCTCAAGCAGATGTAGTACAACTTCAAAGGAAATTTCCCTATTTAGTCACCTGTTATGACTTGCTTGTTAGGGCAACAGTGTGTCTGCCCCCCTCCCCCCTCCCCATAATAGATATACAGAACCAACAAGGAGTTGGGATATATATTTTGTTATTAGGGCTGTAAGTACATACATATGTCAAAATCATTTGCATATATGTCCATTAATTATTAAAATATATATGATGTGAGTATTAAAAAAGGGGATGAATATATTTCTATGTACATTGTATAAGCATGTATGGACATTTTTTACAAATGATGTTTAAGTACCTTCTTTGCACTGGAACCCACAGGGGCATAGAAATAAAGGAAGACCAAAAAACACATGGAGAACGGAAGCTAGAGAGCGAAGTTGAAAAGATAAGGGAAGGCTGCATGCGATAGCGAAGGATAGAACGACTTGGCATGAGTTGGTTGAGGGCCTATGCTCCATTGGGGGTTTGAAGGGCAGAAGAAAATGTAAAGACATTAGTTACATATGGACAGATGTTTTTTTCCTCACAGAGCTCTGTTTCATCTGGTTGTTTTTTTTGAATAGGCATTCTGTTTTGCCTTGAATTTATGTCAAACAGACAACAGCATCTTGCTGTGCAGTTCATATCTTGTGCATTATTCATTAGTTTGTTAATTTTCACCTTTTTCCACATTGTACAAATCTTATATCATTTGTCCTCAGGTGTGAGATATTTTGCTGTATTTTTTTTTTAAATTTAAAAACTGCTTTAAAAACACAAAAAAAAAAAAATACAATGAAAGAATTCATGCCGTTCGAGTGCGGCTTTTATTCTTGTTTGAATGGTAGAGAGGTAAAATAATTGCATTGGCCATGCTTTATGAGAGTTCCGGGGCCCCATCTGGGAGAAAGAGGGTGGAGGGGTATGTTTGTGTGTATGTTGATGTAATGTAAATGTATTTATGTGTGGGTGTGTGTATACATGTAGGTTTATATGTGGGTATGATATGTGTGTTTGTATTTTTGTGGGGGTATGAATGAGTGTTTGTGCGCATGTATTTTTATAAGTATGTAGTGTGCGGCTAAGTATGTGTAAAGTTTGTAGGTATGTATGAATTTGGGTATGTAAGTATGTATGTGTGTAAGTATTTAAGCTTGTGGGTATGTATGTGTGTAAGTGTGTATGGATATGTTTGTATGTGTATGGTGATATAAATACACAAACATGTATGTGTATGTATTTGAGTTTGTAAATGTGTGGGCATATAAGCATTAGTGTATGTATACCTGTGGGTATGATTGAATACAAAATATTAAAGATGAGAGTGCTCAGATTGATTACTACAGAAGAAGCAGTTACAACAGATCAGTAGTTGCACGCACAATTAGACGCATAAGGCACTACAAGTTCTTGAGCAACAGACCATTTTCTGAATCTGCAGTTAACCACACAAACCGTGTTAGGTGCAGTCATAAAATCATCCCAAGTGGAATCTGCAGCTCACCGTTTGCGCCATGCACTGAACTCAGTAGATGGGCGAGGGAACTATATCCATTCAGTCCACACATGAAGGAAAATGCAACAGCTAACTATTTTCAGAAGCAAAAACTTGCCACGTTTAACAACAGTAAATGCCTATCCGCCATCTTAGCAGGCAGCCTGGTGCGAATTTGGAAACAACGAGCAATTGACTTTTCAACCGTATAAACAGTATTTTGGGACTTGCCAGAACTGCGAAATAACTCTCTGGCCAGCGGGCTGGAACTAAACAAAACAACAAAGACCCAGGAGACTTATCATCATCATGTGCTGTCCAAGTCTTAACCCTGTTAAAACACACACACACCACACACCCAACAAGTTTAATGAGTGGGAAAGATAATATGCTGCCCGAACTGCGTAGGCGTTTTCCTCAACCAAGGTGTATTGCGCCGGAAGCCAAATCTGCCGTTGTACCCAGAAACGCTGGTGATTCCTTTCATGAACTGCGCATGTCCGTCAATAGTTTCCTGTGAGTGACCTGTAGAAGACAAAACAGATTGCATTGTGTGCCTGTGACGACAAAGACAGTTTTCAACAAAGTGCTTATGATTTTTTTTTCCATTATAAATTTTGCATTCTGCTTGTTTAACATCTCAAGGGTGAGGTTCAAACAGGTACAAATCCCAGAAATTCTGCCCAAATGTATAGCTAAAAGCACTGTCGTATTAACCCTTTGGAGATGGAGCCTTTTTTTGAGTTTCAGTGCCAAGAAGACTGCGTCTTGGCGGGCGGAGTGGGGGGGAGGGGGGGGGGGGGGGATGGGAAGCGGATTCTCTTAGTTTACAGACACACAATTATAAAAAAAATAAAGCCTTTAATTAACATATACAAAGTATATATACTCGTGAAGGAAATTTAATGAACTAACAAAATATTTATAAATTACATTGACATCGTAATATTTGTTCAAATTAGCTATCAAATTTGCATATTTATGCGTACATTTTTTTTTTTAAATTACAAACGACAAACATAATTAAATAGAACAATGTGGCAAATTTTTTTTTTTTTAAATTAAACCAGAATAAGTCCTAACACTTTGGTTTTGGGAAGTAAGGACCATGTAGGCTCCCCAGACACCTGTGGCAAATGGTTCTACTTCTTTTGCTGTCTCCTACTATATTTAGGTTGCTATGAAGCAACGATACTTTTCAATGTAAAATTACGGAGCGCATCAAACTTTCTCGAAAGCTGTCATTGAAATGTGAAGGAAGGCTGTTACGAATTCCTGCCAGGCAATCTCAAGACTTGTATTATAGGGCCGACCGATCGGCCAAGCCGTCATTTTTGCATGTGGCTATTTTGCTGTTGGGCCGATAGATCGGCCGAGTCGTCTCCAAAGGGTTAATGTACAGCAAATAAAGGACCCCTGTCTATACCTTCAGCCGTACTGGGCATGTTGGGCAAGACCTATATTTTATAGAGCTAAATGAGCACTCAGTAGATAATGTCATCATCACAAAGGACAGTCATAGTGGGGTACCTCAACACGGTGGTGCTTTATTCATATCCTACAACAAACGGGAAATCCACAGGCACGGGACAGTCTAATATTTCACGGGGTGGTAGATAGGCATGCATGCAGTCGTGTGACCTAGGCTGCACTCTCTCGTGGGACGTAGGTGGGTTGGGGGTTAGGGCCAGTTCGGGATGTTTTGGGGTCGTTAGAAGCATCAGAAAGCCGGGAAACCCAGTCTTACTACCTTCTAAAATGTTGGACTGTCCTGTGACGTCATCTGGGGGTAGGATATTAATAAAGAACCCAAAACGGTTGCTAAAAAAATCTGTAGTCCAATGTGGATTGGGGGGGGGGGGTGGTGGGGTCTAACCTAGTAAATATGATGTAGACTCGTGTTTTTATAGACCAATGGGCACCTGATGGATAGTATGATCAGCATCACGCTGACCGCACTTACGTCCCAGGATATTTACGCATACTCATATAAGGTTGAGTCGACCTGGGAGCCAAAGTCATTTTTTTTTCAATGGTGACTATGCTGATTCGAACCCAAGACAATCTGGCCGGCATGCAAGCTTCTTGCCGCTGTGCTAACATGGTTACCAATGAAGTAATATCATCATCACTCAGCAAGTTCTGTTCAGAACATCTCCCGCTATGGTACACTTGATAGTCTCTCTTTCTTTAGTCAATTCCCCAACCCCTGTGTGCTTTCACTGTTAGTAAGTTAGTTAGTCGAGGTGTCAACATCACCGCAATCGGGTTTCCCCATATTTGCTCCGTTCCTGCACCAGTGCGAATCAAATAAAAAATGGCCCTCATTGTCACATATGAAAAACTGGTGAATAAACAACTAGTTCCGGAATAATCCACAAATATATGCACACAGTAAATGGGTATTTCAGTTGCTCAAGGCGCCAAAGTCAACAATCGCCACTAGAAAAGCAGTTTGCCATTGATGGAAGTAGTCGGACACTATAAGTTGGTTACTTTGCACACGTACAATTCTTACATAAGGTATTTTACCAGCTCACACGTAAACCGGCCACTGGCCTATTGATCAAAACGACACAACAGCTGCTCAAATGAAAGGCAATCCATAGAAAAACACAGCTCGCAGGGCTACAGCCAAGCACTAAACTCAGTAGCTCCGGCAGCAAAACCATAGACTACTGTCCTTGTGTGGAAACTGCATTAGCAATGCGCTGCCGGAAGCAAAAATTACTTCGAAGCTTAACATTCTGCCAAGCCTTTCCTCTATTTTGGCCGGAAGTCTGCTTTCACAGCCAACGCATCTTCAGTGCCTTGTATGTGGCCTCTGCCTTGTTTTATGCAACCTGAACTCTACATCACTGCCTTCTCCAGGTGTAATGTATCTCCCTCCACATTCAGTCTCCCTCATACAGACTTGACACTAGCTCCGTTGTCTAGGGGGGCAAGATCACAGTACAGACGAGTCAAACTTCTCTTCCGATCAACTATCATAACATAACCCTTGACCCATTAGGGTCGAGGAGGTGTATGGATGGAAGCATTAGCACATAAAATCTGCCATCTTTCTCTGTCTACTGCTTGATTAATAAGTGTATGATAACTTAGTCCTATATATTTCTTGATGTTGTCATTCCAGGTTCTTCTTTGCCCTCCTCTTCGACTACTTTCCTGCCCCCCCCCCCCCCCCCCCCCCTTTCCTCTTTTTTGTCCTGCAAATGTTCCTTGAAGTACAGTCTTTGCAATCAAATCATGTTTCACCATGTGCTCCAAATGACAGTCGACGGAGGCTGACAATAATTCACTGGTTTATTATCAATAAAACACAAGCAACAAGAATCACAAATGAAGCCGAACTCTTACTCCTTTCGGGCAAAGTCCCCTTGCTCACACTTCAAGTCTACAGCCACGCTTCAGACGATGGACACTGGCATGTACACGGCTGACACAACCAACAGCCCATAGAACACAGCTGGTGTCCTCGACTGTAATTCAACACAGCTTCACTCCTTGCCGTTCAGGACTAACTTCATTCGGGCTCCATCCACATCCAAGTTCATAACTCATGTGGATCCAGTTTTCCTTTTTTTTTTTTAACTCTTGGGCCCGGTCACAGAATGACCAGGTATTCTTAGGTAACCTCCAGCAAGGAAGCAGACATCGATGAATGAAAAAAAAATGACAACAAAGAGGACAAACTATAATAGATTGCACAGTTTATTGCCTGGCAATTGTCTCTGTTATCTCATCAGGTGCACACTACAGTAACAATTACATAAATAAAGCAAACAGGCGAATCCTTTATAAGTAAAACACAAATTCAACAACAATCGAACGCAACTACTTGTTTGACCAGGGCTGTTGCAGTGTCAGAATCATGTCTTTTTGTTTACATAGTTCAGTGTGGAGGTAACAAATCGTGGCAGCTTTAAAAAATCTAAACGTTCTCCAACAAAATCACGTCTTACCTGCACCAGACTGATTTCTCAATGATAAGTACTCGAACCCAGGACCTTTCTGATGAAACCTGTCGGATACTGGTCCTTCGATAGACGTAGCATTGTCTTTGAACTGTCATGCAGGAAGGAGAAATGTCTTAATATGCGTGCGTATTTGATCACGCGGCAGACATGTTGTTATACAAGAAGGGAGAGGTAGGCAGATAGACAAGGCAGGCGGAAAGACAGACAAACGGACGAACGGGAGTGGGAGGGGAGACGGGCGGGAGGGTCAGTCAGGCAGACAAACAGGCAAGCAGACAGACTGAGCGTGATGTATGGTTTCTGCATTTTGCATGCATTCACTGTGTAGATGTTTTGGTGGTAAAAGTAACATTTATCTCCCAACGCCCCGCCCATACACACACTAGCTTACTTCTGATTGATAGTTCCTGAACCTGTCACCTTGGCACAAAGTTACGGGGGTGTTCAGCAATGCCGTTGATATCGCATACTGTATATTTCAGCACGCCAGCGCTTTTAACACTCCAAAAACATGGAACGTAAACACAAATCCCCCCCCCCCCCCCCCTCTTTTTTTCTGAAAGTGCTGCAATCTATGTCACAGACATTCTTTTTCTCATAATAAAAACGCAAAATAAAAATGAAAGACATCACAGAAAGAAAACAACAGAGCGGGACACACCCGTAACATTCAGAAAAGTTGACCAGCCTAAAAAACTTGTGAATGAAAACTGACCTACTCTATTTGGAGAGATTAACGTGAACCTAACCGTTTAGGTGTGTGTATCAAGTGTGCAGGTGATATATGCGTGTTAGGTCTGACGCGTGTATGTGATGTGACATCCTTATGTTATCACAAGCATCGGTGTTTCTTTGTTTCACCGTGTGCGTGCTCGGTTTTAAATCATTGAGTAACCTCTGATCGAACCAACGCAAATCGATCGATAAATCAAGCTCAGACAGTGGACAGATTCAACATACACACAGACACATACAATCCTGCCAACATATCAAACAGTATAAGAAGTTGTTTTTGTCTACTCTAACTGCACAGCTGTGTCCAGGTGTATTAGCTCTTCATTCTTTGTGTATTTCGGTAGCTGTTTGCTGGGCGTTCATAATTGAAGGAGTTTTTGTACTGGGCGGTATACGTTTAATGTTTGTAGCCAGGTTTTTTTTTTTCTTGATGGCCGAAATTGAAAGAAGAATCATCAGTCAGTCATTTACCGTTTCCACAATGAAGGCTGGTTGCAGTGGATCCCCAACACATTCCTACCCAAGGATTCACTTACATTGTGTGCCAATCTTCGCGCTGGTCGACCCCTGCCTCTATTTCTTAGCACCATACATTTTTTTTAATCGTTTACTGTTATTTTTGAGTGAGTGGCATTTTTTTTTCTGTAGTTCTTATTTTTTTTTTTTAATTCAGCCACATGTTTCATTTTCACTGTGTTTTTGGACAGACATGAAAATGAACTAACACTGGTGAAAAATACTTTTTTTTCTTCTTCTTCTTCTTCTTCTTCTTCTTCTTCTTCTTCTTCTTCTTCTTCTTCTTCTTCTTCTTCTTCTTCTTCTTCTTCTTCTTCTTCTTCTTCTTCTTCTTCTTCTTCTTCTTCTTCGTCTTCTTCCTTTTCTTCTTCTTCTGCCTTCATCTGAAGATGTAACTGCATTGTCACAATTTACAGCATAACTGCTACTTTTATCCCTTTCGGCCGATACATCCGACTTCTGCAGGCATTTGTTAACGTGTGTATGTAAACAAAATTCTGATATGAATACGTAAACAAATTAAGCGCGTTACTATATTAAAAGAGTTAGGACATTAAATTAGAAAGAAAGAAAGAAAGAAAGAAAGAAAGAAAGAAAGAAAGAAAGAAAGAAAGAAAGAAAGAAAGAAAGAAAGAAAGAAAGAAAGAAAGAAAGAAAGAAAGAAAGAAAGAAAGAAAGAAAGAAAGAAAGAAAGAAAGAACACTGCCAGTCTTTTATACATACACACACACATATACATAAACACACACACATACGTGCGCGCGAACGCACACACACACACATATCTGTACCAACCTGGCCAGTTTTCTTTAAAGTGCGACCCACCCCCCAAAACTTGAAATAGGCCCCCACGTGTTTGTCTCTCTGTGAGTTGTACGGCGGGATGACAGGGCCCAGCTTGGGGTTGGTGCCGCTGTAGTCTTGCGAGATGCTACTGGTGGCATTACAATCCAAAATGAACGTCTTCTCTTTCTTCAGAAGTTCACTGGGGCTTGGTGTTGGCGGGGTCCTGTAAATTTTGTTTTGTCGTTCCCTTCTATTTCGCGTTTTTGATTTCTTTGTCAAATATTTAACTTTACTTTCGGTTTCTGGATTACGTTTAGGAGTTTTGGTTTTTCCGTTGCCTTTTTCGGAATTCGACTGTTTCTGATCCATTATTTCTTTTTCCTCTCTGCCATTTTTGTCTGAGTTTTCGTTTTCATCTTTGCTCGGGCTATTAGACCTATCTTCATTCTGACTCTCGGTTTTGTCCTCTGTCTTTTCCGACATTTTTTTTTTTTTTTTCCTGGGGAGGCAATAGATGAAGTTTTTAAAATGTATGTTCTTGTTCAGCCCTAATGGGTTAGAAGAAAGTAAAAGACATCATAACTAGTCAAGTTGCAACCAGCTGCATTCACGTAAAGGCGTGTGGGTTTATTGTAAAGTATTCAAATCGTTTACAAAAACAGGGATTTCTTTCATCAGTCTGGTCTTACAAACAAATTACTTACAAATACTTACTACAAATCCAACTTAGCTACCCATATAAGCAACAGTCTACTTACCAATCCACCACCATACCAAAAATATGCCTTTCTACCAAAGAATCACCCAACAAAAAACATACTACCTACCTATAAACGAACCAAGCAACCGTCTTCTTCTTCTTCTTCTTCTTTTTCTTCTTCTTCTTCTTCTTCTTCTTCTTCTTCTTCTTCTTCTTCTTCTTCTTCTTCTTCTTCTTCTTCTTCTTCTTCTTCTTCTTCTTCTTTTCTTCTTCTTCTTCTTCTTCTTCTTCTTCTTCTTCTTCTTCTTCTGCTTTCGCCCTTTAAAGGATGGTTTGCGGTTGTGTTATCTCAAAGCTAAACTGATTTTTACGACCTTAGGCCAAACACATATGATTGTATCAAAAAAGCTAATTGATTGCCTCTTAAGACATGCTTGTTAGGAGCAGTAGGACTGTTCCTTTTTGGACAAACGAGGGGCCCCGTAACCCACGCAGGGTTACAGCCCACCTGCCAGTGTGCTAAGAAACCAAACCAATAAATTACCTATATACCAACCAATTAACAACACAACCAGTAAATTACGTACTTACCTGCCTACTAACGAACCACCCAACCAACCAACAACCTACCTACCTACCTACCTGCCTGCCTACTAACGAACCACCCAACCAATAAATTACCTACCGATCAAACACTGAAGCAGAATGTAACACTTATCCGCCGCAGACAAAGAAGCCTATCATAAATCTGACACTTGTAAAATCCTGAAAACAAAACAATGCACTCACCGTACTCTACAAGTGTCTCCAGATTTCCGCACAAGAAATATCTTTCTTAGTTCTCGCCACCGCTTTCAGAGAGCGCCTTTATTGGTTGCTAGCGACGCGACGTCAGGGG